ATGTAAATCTTTGATCTTTCATTGTGGCCCCGCCCTACCCCGGGAGGGGGTGTCAAGATTTTAACAAACTTTAATCTACACTACCTCAGGATATTTCCACATAAGTTTCATTTTTCCTGGCCCAGTGGTTTTGGAGAAGATTTTTAAAGATTTTTCCTGTGCATTCCTTTGTAAATCTTTGATCGTCCATTGTGGCCCTGCCCCATCCCCGGGAGTCATGATTTGAACAAATTTGAATCTACACTATCTGAGGATGTGTCCACATAAGTTTCATCTTTCCTGGCCCAGTGGTTCTGGAGAGAAAGGTTTTCAAAGATTTTTCCTAAGAATGTATTCAAAGTAAATCTTTGATGGTCTACTGTGACCCCGCCCTACCCCGGGGGTCATGATTTTATTGAATTTGAATATACATTTCATACGTTTCATTTTTCCTGGCCCAATGGTTCTTCAGAAAAAGATTTTTAAAAGAAGCCTTTAATTTTTCACTAATGTGTAATTATCTCCCATTGGAAGAAGACGTGACCCTTCATTTGAACAAACTTGAATCCCATTTACCCAAGAATACTTTGTGGCAAGTTTGGTTGAAATTGGCCTTGTGGTTCTTGAGAAGAAGTCAAAAATGTTAAAAGTTTACAGACGGACAGGCAGACAGACGGACGGACGACGGACAAAATGTGATCAGAAAAGCTCACTTGAACTTTCAGCTCAGGTGAGCTAAAAATAAAACCCTTTCATACAGGACACGAAACTTATCTCATGTCGTTTGTTAACACGGCTTTAAAACATTGTGGTTCCGTTCCGTTTCGCAAAGTACCGATATTGTTGCCTGACGCCACGTGCGTCATGCAGTATAAGGATTAATTTTTCAGGGATTCGAAACTAAGCGATCATTCTTAATGAACTAGATTTTGTGCATGCTGATTTACATCGGAATTTGTTACCTGCATTTAAACAAATACACTTTGTGAAGAAAGAATCATATAACTGATGCAGAGTAATGATGTGTTTAATTCCTTCAGTTCTTTTGCATGCACATGTTTATTCTTTGCGATTCTTTGTACGGACATGTCCGTGTAACATTTTTTCTGCGTTTCTAAACTACTGGATCAGTCCATTTGCCTTCTATGAAAGGGGTGGCACAATGATTTCGCGCCAAATGTCACATGTAAATTATCTTCGCGCCTTTTTCTTGGGTTGTTCTATTGAATGGGTGTGATAACTTCTATGGGAATAAATAAAGTTTATTCTTTAAACATGATTCTTAAGCTCCAGATTTTTTATTAACAGTAAATTTTATCTCATTTTATAAGAGAACACATTGTACATGGACAGGCAACACTAAAGCAATGGATTTACTGATTATTCTTACTATTTATCCCATAAGTTGACTAGTCTAATCATAAACAAACTCCCTCCACCTAGAAAATTGGACATCCCTTCTTGATTCAGTCTGTTTTCCACCTAGCCTTTCTTTCAATATTACATTTATTAATAATGTACGTTATAAGGTTAGGTTTTGAAAAAAAGCTTAGAAAGTCAGCGAGTAGCATATTACTTCATGCTTTGTGATGAACAAGGGTTTCCTTTTAATACAGTGACAAGAGTGTAGGTCAGTACCCGTAGAGGAATGGGCATCACTCCCGTAAAGTTCAAAATAAAGACTCGGCAAAATGAAGAAGACATCATGATCTGTACTGGTTTTCATTTCATAAAAAAGCACGTTATTATAAATATGAGAAAGGTCCTGAAATCGATTGAATAGAAAAACTAAACAATTTCAAAACTGTAGGGCCTACAAAAAGATGTATTTTAAACTCATTTATAATACATGTACATGTATATGGTAAGACCATCATCGCGTGAGTTTTGTCCGGAGGGGGGGGGTGTTATTAGTATCTTGTTTTGCTCTAGCTATAAACTGTACAGGCCATTTACTTTGAGTTCTAGAGCAGCATTGAAGCATTTAATTTTGTCTCAAACACTTCAAGACAACAGTGTTCATAATTTACTTCGTCGTCGAGAACGACCAGTCTATAAATAGAGGCCGTCTCATCAATCTATCACTGACCATGGAGTGTGCATGGAGAAGTGCGCCCTCTAGTAAGAGAGTACATGTAATATGAATTTCTTTAAAACGAATCATCTAACTATTTTTTCCAGAATTGTCAGTGGCGGATCCAGGAATTTCATAACGGGATGGCGCAGTAGAAGGCAGGTGGTGGTGGTGGGGGGGGGGGGCTGTATTATAACCCCAATGGGTCCAGGGCAAATCCCTGATGAGGGTTCGGAGGCGAAGCCCCCGGAAGCTGACGAATTCTTACAAATAATGTGTTTTTTCCTTGATTTTAGGATAATAAACATATAAGTTCTACATATAAAATATTCAAACGGGGGGGGGGGGCTGGGGGAGGGGCGTACGCCCGGCGCGCCGGTGCTGGATCCGCCTTGATTATAATCTACGCTAGTGCACTTGCAGTTTCATCCCAACGTAACTAGTCAGCCCGTGGGCTAACTAATAAATGACCAAATAGTGGCATATCTTAGATATTCGTTAATCTGTAGTATTTGGTTATGACATTTGAGAATGTCAATTGTACATCTTGTGTAATGAAGTATCGCAACTATGTCGCTCCTTGATGACGGAAACGTTTAGCACCTCTCTTGCATATACGTTCCATAGATAATGATTGATTAGTCAGGCAAGCTTTTTGAAAAGCTATTACTTGTAGTGAATATTAGTAATTTGCGGAACGGAACAGAATCCGTTAAATGGATTTTTCCTTATTAATCTAGAGCTGAATGTTAAATATATCAATAAATGTTGAGGTAGTTAATATAAGTTAACTTGTAATAAATTACGCATTTAAAGATCTACATTTACACAATACTGTTAAAACTAGTTCACAAATTGATTTAGCTGAAGATTAAGAAATGGTTTAGCTGAAGATTGAGAAATGGTATTTACGTTTTCTTATCAGCATCAAGGTCCGCTATAAATGCAAAATGATGGTCTATTTGATATTACTGATATAAAAACAAGACTTTCGAAGAAGTTTGAAAAAAAAAACACATTTAAAATGTTGGATTTTGCTGGATATTTGATGGATAAGTTCTTCTTAATTATGTTTCTCTTCAAACATCCTTGTCAGTTTAATTTTTTCCCCTGGGTTTAACAGCCGAAATTCCAATTTAAATGATTAAAAAGGACGAGATTAATTGAAAAACAACAGAGTGCTTGCATGTGTATCATTATATTTTAACTTCATTGCGCGTTTCGTTCCGTTTCGCTAAATACTAACATCCACACGGATATTGGTATTTAGCAGAACGGAACGGAACTAGAGAATGCTATGCTAGCAAAGTGCGACAACTCTCTTTTCTTGACTTGAACGATACTCTTTTTTTATAATTAGCTCTTGACGGTAAATTATGATAGGAATACATTTTACATCGATATAATAAATGTATATGAATCATTCAATACAGTTTACATAGTGCATGTAGCTACAGATGATACAGCAGATGAAAAACCACACGACACAGTTATTTATTAAAAAGAACTTAAAGGCGTTTTATTTTACGACCCTCTGATGTTAAGTTCCCTTATAACTGAAAATAAAGTAGCTTTTTATATTCATATTAATGCCCCCCTTAGGGTACCAGACAACCGGTTCCATTCCGTTTCCTCCTGCAAAGTACCAATAGCCTAAAATATGAAAGCCCTGGTGCTAGCCATTCAAAAATTATGACCAAGGCTATAGTTTTTCAAAAGTAGGTCAAACTCACAGGTCAAGGTCAAATTTTTGATACCATACAGAGGGTCAAAATTATTGGAACCCAAAGAAAGGTCTTGTCACAAGAAATACATATGTGAAATATGAAAGCCTTAGCACTAACCATTCAAAAGTTATGGCCAAAGTTAAAGTTTGGTAAAATTTTGCAAAAGTTGGTAAAACTCCAAGATCAAGAGGCCAAATATGTTGATACCCAAACAAATATTTTGTCATCAGGGATACACATGTGAAATATGAAATTAATAGCTTCAACCAATCAAAAGTTCTGGGCAAAGTTAAAGTTTTTGTGGACTAGGAGACAGCTAGACAAACAAATGGACAAAACAAAAACTATATGACCCGAATGTTCAATTTCGGGGTCATAAAAATTATTCTGGCTGTATCTTTTTCACCTGAAGAGACAAGACTTTCATACTTTTTGGCATTAATTTTGCATTACCTTCTTCAAAACTCTTCTGAATGTACTTACTATGATTTTTTAGTCTTACTTTCTAAAGTTAACCTGCCCGTAACCTTTGCAGAAAATACTCCTTCAAAAACTATAAAACTTTAATGCATGAGGAGCAGACAGGACAGTTACAATATGCCATAGATCACTGTACTCCAAGAAGTAAGACCCTGAACATTTCAAACATTCATATATATTTACAAATACGCTGTAATGAGGAATTTACTTTAACCAAGTGCAAATTTTTTGCATAAATTAATATAAATACAATTGTTTTGAAGGTGTACATCAATTAATGCAAACACAAGTGGATTTCACATAATCAGTGGTACTGCAATGATCTTAAGCAATCACATCTCTATTGACAGACCTTTTTAATCATTTTAAATGGCATAATGATTTTTTATCTTTTATACAGTATTATTTTTTAAAAGACATTGTACATTTACAATTACTCAACAAGTCCGAGTTATTCAAACTCAAATAAGCCAGTAAACAAGCATTTTGAGAGTATTACATCATATAAATACTGCACGTAGTTGAGTGTAACATTGAAAATTTTCACCCCAAGAAAACCATTGTCAATCGCCTCATACTAGAGGTCAAGGTCACAAGTGACCTTAAAAAAAGTCTGGAAAGCTAATTGGGACAGGCAGACAGACAGACAGACAAAACATGTTGTTAATTCTGGTTTTATCAGCAGAGGACTAACAGTAGTATAAGTAAGCTAGTGTTCTTCTTTTTAAAATCTCAATACATTATCAATACATGAAAATTTATTTAGCACATACATTCCTTAAAAATGCAAAGTCACAATGTCAAATACATCTGAGATCAAAATACGACATGTAACAACAGGAACAAAACCGTGTTAAATATTCCAGTATAATAGCACTCACAATGCTCATTTTGAAAGTCAGACTAATATGTCCTGCAGTAGATTATACAACCTGTTTCAATAGTTTTCTAATTCAGTCAAACAATACGACTCACAGGAATAAATGATCCTTGATTCAAAGCATAATTCGCTAGCTTTTCCTGACAAAAAATGAGTGGTTTATCATCTGCAGATTTTTAATACCTGATTTTAATAATCTGATATCTTAATTAAGAGAAAACATAAAGTACAAATGTAAGTGGGATTGGAGACTTAGCATGCAGTTATACAATATCAATTAGGACAAATATTCTCTGAATATGTACATGTATTGTAGCTTTTAAGCTACCACAGACAGGCTGAATCAAGCGGCCCTGAAATCTGAATTGTACACACACTAATCAAGGTACAGTGTCACTGTATAGGAATGTATGTAATAAAGCTATCTAGCACAACCATTCCTTTTATAAAGCAAGATTAAAACATTATTACCTATAGCAAAAAAAAATTATGGTCATGTTTGAATAAAAACACACCAAAAAGCAATGGCAAATCATAGCGAACACCAAATAATTTATGCAAGTATCTTACCATGAAATATTTTCATATTGTTTGTTCAACTTATCAGAAGTTAAAATGTACAAGAACTAAAGTAATATCAAAATTGTAAAAATTTACAATAATCATTCATTAAAAAATATTAATTTCTTTGATCAAAGATAGGTTTTGTGGTAAATATGTTTGGCTTTAAGACAATTACGGAACTTTGCAAACAGAGCTCACAAAACATATACAAACTAAAAAAAAAAAATTATCACACAACAAATTATTACAAAATATTTGCTTTTTAAATTAAATAATTAATTTAATTAATGATAAATCGTTAATTTACTTAATAAATTCAATAAAATCATTCTAAACCAATCCAATTTGGCAAGAAGTGTTCTCTGGTACTTCCATGAAATTGTGCCATGAAGTCTGTGCCATCTCGGTAAGTGTTTTTATAGTACACGGTGGTGCCGTTTGTTAGCCACCCTATCCACCACCCAAAGGTCCCCACCGTCATTATGGTGTGGTGGGTCCTAGTAAGCAGGGCCATGTCTTGTGAAGGAGAATTGCCCTCCACAAAGTGCACCCTCTCATAACTCTTCATAACCTCTCGAGCCCACACAATGTCATTTCCACAAACTACAAAGAGTACATCTGGATATCTTACTTGGTAAAACTTTATGGCATTATGTATGTAGACTTCAGGGGCTACATTGTAACCGAATTCTACAAAATGTTTGTTTTTAACATAATCTCCTCTTCGTATGTGAATTCCCACAAGAACAGTCTTGTCAGTCACTCCCTTATCCTTGAATGATTCAACAATAGAGTGAAGCTGATCTTTGGCTTTGTTTCGTATATGCGGCTGAAATGTAAACATTCTGCGAATTCCCTCCTCATGGCCTTTTAAATATTTCCAAGACTGAAAATATCCATAGACTTGAACAGGAAGCTGAAGATTTTTAAAAACATCATCAAAAGCACAGTCCCACTTATCCTCAAACTTAGAGTAACAAGAACAAGAATACGAACTATCATATCTCCAGTTAAGTCCCTCCAGGGTAAATATATCGACAAGAGGATTCTCGCTATTGAAAATGACTTCTGATTTGTCTCTCTCTTCTGCAAATGAGTACACAAAGGCTTCCTGAAACATGGCATTGGCCAGTCGTCCTTGGATGTTAATGCAGACAGCATTGTCCTGTCTGAAGATCATGCAATGCACTTCCCAGTAAAAGAGATAAATGAGTAACACTACTGCTAACACTTTAAGTAAAGTTTTACCTGAAAATGACAAAAAATAAAAGTTACCAATAATTGAAAAGTAATAACGAGAATGGTAGATGGTAGATACAATCATAAAATTGAGAACACCTAGACTAAATTTGATCCACAGATCTACTTCTGGTAATAAAATCTGTTTGGAAGATGTGTGGAGGTTCTTCGTCAGATCAAATTCAATTCTAATGAGAAAACTCAAATTTTTCCTGGGTCCTGTACAGTACTTACAAATCTGAAAAACCTTGACCTTTGATTAAGCAATTTCAAAATCTATAGATGTCTCTTTTTTAATACAAATCTTTTGACAATAACAAAAAATCAATTGGACATACAATAATTTTTGTACCATATGAAAGTATATAATATATATGGGAAATCAAACATCTATAACTTTACTGCTACATACACATGTATAAATACATATATAAACATTTATAATTACATGGAAAGAATGAAGTCTGTGTCTTAATTTCTTCAATAATTTTAATATATAATTGTTTAATGGTATCATTCAATATTGCTGACCCTTTGCCTTGACTTCTGACAAGTGATAAAAATTCTAAAATACTATGCGTGCCTTTTCCTTACAATCCTTCAACTATTAAGTAAAATAGTAAATATACATGTATCATACATGTATGTATTATGTCTGTAGCTGAAAAATACTCACACTTATAATTGCATTACATTTTTATAATATGTTTATATCCAAGATCTTGCCAGACCATATCAATCAACAGCAAATCTAATAGCATTAGCAAATGAAGTCTATGTCTTATCCCCCCCCCCCCCCTCCCCATAAAAGTAATGATGGATCAAGATAAATTTGTGTGAAGTGCTATACAGGCATACATCTTATACATATTCTTTACTTATGGGCTCCTTTTATTTAAGGGGGTGGGGGAGGGGGCTTAATTATAATGGAAAACACAAATTTTACAAAACTTTGGCAAAGAAAGGTAACTCTTTATACTGTTTACAATTGCTTTGGTTTGAAATTTTATCTGATTTCCACATCATGGCATGGTCAGCATACATACATGTATATTGTTGCAAGAACAATTCGTCATTATTTGAAAATGAAATCTCAAACATAATCATCCATTTGCACCAATCTGACTAAACATGCTTAAACTGAAAGTGTTCATCTACAAAATAATTAACATTCATGGATCAAAGTAAGCAAAACTATCATCATTTTCGTTCGAGTCACTGATCACAAAATTAAATATAATTATATATTTGAATTCGGAGGGAGGAAAGAGGTCGGAGTTCAACATAATTCAACAGCCATATGTTATCTCATGGACCTATTTCTTTTTTATTTGTATGTATAATTTGTCTACAGGTGTGCAACTCAGGAGGGGTCCATATGTTTTTGATAAGGGTACCAAGTTTCTTATTAGTTACTTTACAACACTAAAATCCCAGAGAAGAGAAACATGAGACTGAAAATATGCATTTTTTGTCCTTATTTCTTGTCCTTAGCTCTTCATTGTACTTGAATATAAAGTTCATTTTAATAAGTATAAACTTACAACATGTTGATAATTAACTAAGATTATAGTCAGCAAATCTCACTAAACTTACCTCTACGATGAAGAAATTGTAAAATGGAATTTTTGAGATTTAAAGTCTTCATGATGCAGCCACCTGTAATGGACAAAAAGAGGTAAAAATCTTGCAGTAGCCATCAATTACATGAAACATCAATATTGTTGAGAGAGAGTCTGACATTAAAACAATAGAATGCGGCCTTAGAATGCCAATGGCCCCAAATATAGGCAATTGAGGGCCAAGCTACTTTATCTGGATAATTAATTCCTGACTAATCTAGAAGTTTACAGGCTTGTCAGATTGAGTTGACTTCACTGAGATATCATAAAAAGTATCAAATAAACCCAACAACTGAATTGTTATGACATTTCTTAGTTACTTTTTTTTTAAGGTATAAGCACTGAAGTTTGAAATTTTATCAATCAGATGAAAAATAAATGAAAAATAAGCTATCCTCTACCAGTGGAAGAGTCCGAGGACCTTCGAATTACACTTGCCACAGGCACTGTCAATTCACATGCACGTACGAAGTTATTTTCCAAGTCATCTCGTGCTTATCTTCGTAATTTATGACAATCTTTACATTTATGTATGTTAATTGTTTGTTGTATTCATGACTATAAGCCAATGTTTGATGGTGTTGTCAATAGATAAATAAAAAAATACTTGTAAGAAACAGAACTGACATAAAGAATAATATAAATTCAGTCAGACATATAAATAACATCGATATTTAGACAAGAGACTGATCTAGACTCTCACATTGAAAAGGAATTTCGCAACTTTAATCTTTCAATATTTACTTCAGCAGTCTAGCAAACTCATGCTTGAATATTATTACATCACTACTTGAAACTTTCACCTCGATCAAAGTTTGTCAAAGTAAAATACATAAGTGGCTAGCATTTGCTCTAACAGAGAGGCAACTTCAGGTTTTGTCAGTTAGACCCTGTCAGTTTGTGTCATGTGTGAACCAGAAATTCACGCAATTTGAGAATGTCGAACCCGTTATTTTGTTATGCTCGAACCCGATGCATTAGATGGTCAAGTTTTCACTATAACGTGCGTTCTCATGAATATACTGGAAAACAAGACGGGAGTTTAGAAGATGTTATTATCTTAAATTTTATTTATTTATTTTTTCATTTTCTTTAAACAAAAAAAATGTGCCTGATATATATACACATGTATAAATATTTTAAAATAGGCCTACCTGCACACAACATGCATCCGGTCTCTTTGATCATAAGAACCCTCTTTTTCCTAGACTGGTTATGAAAGAGTCTGCATATTGCGCATATCAGACAGGCAAGACCAATCTATCTTTATTCTGCCTCTAAACGGTAAAAATCTTGAAATATCATTGGTCGAGAAGAATATTGTGTAAAGCCATATCATGTTGCTTACTGAAATGATATCCTCTCCACTTGACCTACTGACCAGATATCAATCCATGTCCCATTCCAAGTGACCTACTGCCAAATATCAAATACCATTTACTTGGGATCAAGGAGGAAAAAAATATTAATATAGGACAAAATCTTTCAAAATCATTCTCTCAAAAATAACAGGACCATGTTCAATATTATGTTAATATCGACGCATCCTCAGGTTACATGTATATACTACTGTAGGTTGGTTCACAGGGAAGGGGGGGGGGAGGGGTACACTATGTAAAGGATACCTACCCAGTTCAGACGTAGAGGCGTTGTTAATGCTTTTCTTATTCAAAACTAATATAGTTTTACAGATTTTAAGGTGTATAGTTTAACCTATAAAGTTTCTGCAGGATTGTTGCATCAATGCGTTAGCAGACTGTTTTACTTTTGAATTATTAACATTAAATATTCCCCCATTTCAGAATAATTCTGCAAGAGTAGTTGATAGAGGTCTATTTTTAGGTCTTTCCACCTTTCTGTGGAAAGACCTATTGAAATTGTTCTGTTTATTATTATTAGGTCTTTCCACCTTTCTGTGGAAAGACCTCTTGAAATGCTTATGTTTATTATTATTATTATTATTTTTCTTCCCGGACTTTTGAAACCGCAAGACTTATCGAAAAACTTTATAGTTCATGATACTGGATATTAAAAGTTATTCCGAAAAACGACCCCCCATGTTTGAACTTTGACCTCTTACGAAGTTATTGCCCCTTTCGCAAGAATAGCTTGTTATCGCTACTCCTTCGAAACCGTAAACCGTAGAGGTACATGTACGAAACCTTCACCAATGTCTTCGACTCATTGAGGGGACTCCTCAATCTATTCATTGCGAAAGAATTCGTTGACCACTTCAATGAGTGATTGCCCCTGAAAGTTTTTGATGTTCACGAAAAATTAAAAATTTTCAAAACTATAAGTCGTGGAGACATGAAACCAACTGCATTGAATTCTTTGACCTTTGACCTTGAAATTTATGTCAAAGTCAAAGGTCAAGGTCATTCAAACTATGAGATATTTATAACTCTCTTGTCTTTCAACATATACTATATGTCTTTGCATCTTTAATATGTCCTTCTAAAACTATTTCAAACATTTCATTCTTGTCCCCTAAGCTTAACCCCTTTGAAAGTTATTGCCCCTTGTGCGAAAAACCTTGTTATCGCTACTCCTCTAAAACCGTAGACCGTAGAGACATCAAACCTTCACTAATTTCTTTAGAGTCTTTAGACACAACTTCAATCTATTCAGTGCGAAAGGATCTGATGACCCCTTATATGAGTTATCGCCCTTTAATGTCTTTGCGCTTAATAGTAAGACCTTATAACTTTAAAAGTATAAGTCCTAGAAGCATGAAACCAATTGCAATGTGACCCTTGACCTTTGACCTTTAATGTGTGGTAAAGGTCAAAGGTCAAGGTCATTTCAAAATTTTAAAATTTTTCATTTTTTCTATTTTTCAAGCCATTTCTGGATTCTTTTTGTATAAAAATTAACTTTAAAGAGTAAAATATAAAAATTAAAGAAATCTAAAGAAGGTGGAAAGACCTCTAATTGTTCGAGAACAATTAGTCTACTAGTTTTTATTATTTTTCCGCCGGACACTTTTTTGTTTCAAGATCTTTCGAAAAGATTTATAGTCCATTAGAATGTACTCCATAAAAGATTTTTGCATTTGACCCTGCGTAAATGAACTTTGACCCCTCAAAGAGTTATTACCCCTTTCGCAATAAAAGCTTGTTATCGCTACTTCTTCGAAACCTTAAACTGTAGAGATCCGAAACCTTCACTAATGTCTTCGACTAATTGAGTAGACTCTTCAATCTTTTCATTGCGAAAGTATTCGTCAACTCCTTTTATGAGTTATTGCCCCTGAAAGTTTTTGATGTTTACGAATAATTAAAAATTTTCAAAACGATAAGTCGTAGAGACATGGGACCAACTGCATAAGATTCAATGGCCTTTGACCTTAAAATATGTGCAAAGGTCAAAGGTCAAGGTCATTCAAAATATGAGAAATTAAGCTCTTTTTATAGCTCTTTTGTCTTTCAACATGTACTAAATATCTTTGCATCATTAATATGTCCTCTTAAAACTATTTCAAAGATTTCATACTTGTCCCCAAAGATTTACCCCTTTAAAAGTTATTGCCCCTTTTACTGAAAACCTTGTTATCGCTACTCCTCAGAAACCGTAAATGGTAGAGACACAAAACCTTCACTAATGTCTTCAGGGTCTTTAGACACAACTTCAATCTATTCAGTGCGAAAGTGTCCGATGACCCCTTATATGAGTTATCGCCCTTTAACGTCTTTGCTCTTGCTATTAAACCTTATAACTTAAAAACTAAAAGTCGTAGAAGCATGGGGTTAAGTGCAATGTGACCATTGTCCTTTGACCTTCAATATGTGGTAAAGGTCAAAGGTCAAGGTCATTTCAAAATTTTGAAAATTTTCATTTTTTTCTATCTTTCAAGCCATTTGTGGATTCTTTTTGTATAAAAATTAACTTTAGAGAGTAAAATATGAAAAATATATGAAATTTAAAGAAGGTGGAAAGACCTCTAATTGTTCGAGAACAATTAGTCTACTAGTTTTTTTTTTTTTTTTTTTTTTTGAAATCATTTTTTTTTATTTTTTGAAATCGAGATTTTGTGCACAGCTGAGGTAAGAATTTCGAGATATAAATCCAGAATCGAGCGCAACTTCGTGCGCAATAAATATACACAGTTTTTTTTTTTTTTTTTTTTTTTTTTTTTTTTTTTTTTTTTTTTTTTCAGTGGGGGCACTGTAGCTCTCCGGTCTGTTAATTTTATTTTTCGAAGAGCTACAGTTCTGCAAATATACAGTGATCAACTTGAAATGGTTTGAACGAAGTTAAATCTGCACTACCTGGTATGGTTGTATTTTAATGGCTAATCATATCCCTGTTATACTTGACAAGAAGACTTTAAATGTTTTTCTATCCTAATACTAGTACATACATGAACATTCCCAGGTTTGAGCAAGTTTAATTACTCACTGTGTATTTATTATACTATGGGTTTTAAAAATATTACAGAAACAAGTGTCTGAGTAAAATCCTAAAGCAATATTGAAATTAGGGATGTCAAAATATTTATTTTCCTTAGTCGATCATTCGATTGCATTATTCGAACGACAGTCGAGTATTCGGAACATTTTCTAAAATAAAATTTTATTTCAAACTTCATTGGTACATACTCAAAAACCTTTTTACTTAAATCTATTTAAAAAGTAACATCAAAATTAATGCAACGTAACGCGTGGATAGCATGATTCTATGAAATAGATTTAGAAACCTAATTCTCCAAAATTTATTATTTACCCGTCAATAGAATTCATAAATCGGCCTGTACATGCAGTCATTTTTTTTTATTTAGTAAGCATTAAAAAATTGCCAGCCGATATTTTTTAAAGCTTATTATGAAATAAAGTGGAGGGGGGCTATCAAAATGTCCTCAAACAGTTTAAAATATAAGCTCATTGTTTTCATAATTATCGAAGTATCAAAACAGGTTTATTCCTTGTATTTGAGCAATCTTAAAATAACAAAAGGTAATTGGTACATGGTATAAGATCAAGTCCAATTAATAATTTTACAAACAAAGCCCATTATATTGGTTGGTAATTTATTACAAAAACAACACAGACAGTTACTGACAATTAATTCTCGCAGTAGTGAAGCACTTATAATTGCTGTACTTTCTATACTACATGGAAAGTCTACCGTTTTTTTGTTGAGGAAAATTATCGATTGTCTATGAGGAAAGACTGTTTCTCAATTTTTTGATGAGAATTCCATCTTGTTATCACTCATTTATTGCATTTTTTTAGTTTAAATAATATTCGAATGTCGTTTCATTATTCGATCGTCGGTCCATTCGACTGATAGTCGAATAGTCGACTATTCTTTGACATCCCTAATTGAAATTTAGTCGAAAAAGAAAAAAATAACTATCACACTTCATAATTTAAAACTTCCATAACAGTACTAAGTATTTCTTACTATCAGTGGCGTAGCTACTACATATGTAGCGGTATGCTTGTATGCCTAAGCATCGATTATGTTTTTTTTACCCCCCCCTCCCCCAAATCGTTGAAGGATCGACTAGAATTCTGTTGAAATTAAATAAATATTGTAAGACTGTAAACATATAGTATGAATCGGATTATTAGATTATTAGGAACTTCAAGTTTTACATTTCTGCATCACAGGAAAGAGAGCCGAAAGAAACAAACCCACTGTCAGGCCATAGCCATTCGTAATTATATATTCTACCTCCAAAAACCAACTGTGACACTATGTGACGAGGCAAAACAGACCCTTTAAGATTATGAAGTTGAGTGGTCAGTTATAATGTTTCCAAAAAGGTTTGCTATTTTTTTTCCTTCCTGTATTCTAAAATATTACAGAAAATCATATATATAGTTTGAAAAAAAGCTAATTGATAGGATCTGTGCATGTGTTTCAATCATAGGCACCTCATCTAATATTTGCAAATGATGAAATGATAAGCCTATATACAGACCTATCCCTCCATATGACCCCATTACTTAGTTAAACACTTAAAACGTCTTACATCTCGATTTATTTTACATTCATCTAGAGAAAACTGCATTAACACCAAGACAGAAACAAAAAAAGTTTGCAACCATTATATCAAAGAAAGTTAAATTTCGTTTGAACATTTGTTTTGGAAAGAACGTATCTTAATACATTTGTTTCATTACTCTCAGATTATTTGTTAATGCATTAAATTTGTTTAATTCATTACTCAAAGATCATTTTAAAATACTCCTAAATCATCAATTTCTGCGGAGCTCCTTCCCCCCCCCATTTTCCCCACCTGAGTCCTGCCCTGGCCTCACTGCATGGCTCTGAATGCGGCTCCACCAACACCCATCCACTCCAACCCCCTTAGATAGAAAAGCATCCACATTATTTTCCCTCTAGCTACGCCACTGGCTAACCAGATTATTTATAATTAATTAAACGCATGCATTATATATGTCATTTGTCATCAACAGAAATGTATTATATGAGATAATATATACACATACAAGAGACAAGCTCAGTAAAAAACCTTTATTTACTCTCGATCATATCCTTTTACAATGACATTTCAAAGCTGTATGTACTGATTGATGGAATTATTCAGTAATATACGTATATATAGAAAATTAATATTACATGTATTCCAACACACTCTCATCCATTTTTAGCACCCATTAAACATCCGGAATGTAGAATTTTCCTTGCCTAAAGTGACAAACATTGTTGCATTACAGAATTTCTATGCTCAAATATGTGCATGATTGATGTCAGTGAAAATGAAAAGAAAAATCATTTCATTAAAGTCTCATGTTTACATTTTTTTAAACCTGACACTGTGAACAGTAAGCTTTTTTCCCAACTCGATCAAATACATGTAAATGTTTCCTTCAGATTGATTCATGTTCATTTGTACAGTATATTATGCCGATGTTATTATTTAGGCCTGTCCTTGCCAGAGTCACAGTTTAAGCGAACGTTTACACGAGGATTTTATGAAGATTTTTCATCTGAATCTAAATGTTCAATCGACCCAATCCATGTCCCGTGATTTGTGAAAATCAAAATCTAAGCTATGCAAGACCTAGAATGCCTTAAAACTAATTTCACGATTTTTACCCTTGTAGCACTTAAAAAAGAGAGTTTAAAACATTTTCCAAAAAATGCAGACTTAGATTTGGACTTTTTTGTTACCCCATCACATTCCAGAGGGATATGATTTGTGTTCATAGGAATCTACACAAATTGTTTGCAGATTTTCTTAATATATAAATATTTGAAACCCTACCAGATCTATGGGAGGAGTGGGTTTAAAAAAAAATTATTATCATATTGAAATCACGGTTTTTGGTGATTTTTCTAACTAACGACGGCTTTAGAAAAGACGATTTTCACAATAACTTTTAATCTATGCATGTCTTTTGGAGAATGCATTTTTTTCTGTGAACAATCTTGAATCCCATTAATCCAAGGACGCTTGGAGATAAGTTTGATTATTTAAGCTGGATAATAGAATAGAACTGTTCAAATGTGCACAAAAGACACACGACAATTAAAAGGGTACAAGTAGATTCCCAAAAAGTAAATGCATTCTACTCAGTTGACGAAGGCATTGAAAAGAGAAGTTACTTTAACATTTTGGATTTCAAAACAAGTCTTTGCACTAGAACATTTACGATGAAATTGACCGCCTGCACTGGTCTGATCAAGACAAACTTGTCACAGATTACCATTAGGGAAAATGAGCAGGTACATTTTTAAAAGTGAAAAAAAATCTTAATTAGAAGCTAAACCCAGAACTACATGAAAAATACATATACATCTATTGATTCAAAAAGAACTCAAGCTTAAGTAAATACTATTACTGCAGAACACAGAAAACCACAAAATCAGAAAAAATGTCTACAGCTTCATGGGGAAAAAACATGGAAGTTATTATGGTTATGGAATAAAATTATCAATCTAAAGCAATCCAATTTGGTATAAAGTGATCTTCGGTACCACCATGAAATTCCTGACTGAAGTGTGTGCCTTCTTGATAAGCGTGTTTATAATACACGGTGGTGCCGTTAGTTAGCCACCCTATCCACCACCCAAAGGTTCCCACCGTCATTATAGTGTGGTGGGTTCTGGTGAGCAGGGCCATGTCTCGTGGTGGAGAATTGTCGTCCACAAAATGGACTCTTTCATACTTCTGCATAACCTCTCGAGCCCACGCGACGCCATTACCACACACAATAAACATGACATCTTGATATTTTTCTTGGTAAAAATTTATGGCATTATGTATGTAAGCCTCAGTGGCCACGTTGTAACCATATTCTATAAAGAAATATTCTTTTTTATTTAAGTAGTCTCCTCTTCGTACATGGACCCCAACAAGAACAGTCTTCTCAGTCACTCCCTTGTCTGCAAAGGTATCAACAATAGAATTCAACTGGTCCTTGGCTGCTTTTTGTAGACGGGGTTTGAAGGTAAACATTCTGCGAATTTCCTCTTCATAACCCTTGAAATATTTCCAGGATTGAAAAAATCCCCAGACTTGCAGAGGAAGTTCGAGATTTTCCAAAGTCTCATCATATGCGCAGTTCCATTTGTCCTGGTACAGAGAATAACACGAGCAAGAATAAGTATTATCATACCTCCAGTTCAATCCTTCTAAGGTAAATATATCATCAAGAGGATTTTCACTGCTAAAAACAACTTCCGATTTATGTCTCTTTTTTGAAAATGAATAAAGAAAAGCTTCCTGGAACATTGCGTTGGCCATGCGTCCTGTGATTGAAATACAGACAGCATTTTCTAGTCTGAAGACCATGCAATGTAATTTCCGGGAGGTGAAATAGACGAATAGCACCACTGCTAAGACTTTTAATAATGTTGTACCTGAAATTAGGAAAAATAAAATTAAAAACATTAGCCGAATGGTATTAAAAATACGAAGTTAGGAACCAGAGGTCTTTCATTCTGTCCGCCACAGACTAATTACTAAATCATCTCAGGAAGTCAAACGAATTCATTGGTCTTACTCAGTCTCAATGAAAATAAAATAAAAAGATATTTTAGATTTAATAATGATTACGAAATTGAAGGATTTAAAGAAAAAAGAAAGAAATTAAATAATTATGAGACAAGTATTAGAAAAATTAAAAGGTACAATGACACAGACAAAGGCAGAGTGGAAAAAAATATCATAGCAAAGAAGAATATCTTAGCTAACTAGCTGAAATATTTAGCAATTAGAGGGTACCTAAGAATTTCTAGGACTACTGTTCTAGGACTACTGTTTATTTTTCTTGAGAATAAAAAAAATATATAGAGGTGTCGGCTAAAAGTAAAATTGCACCATAAATATAATACATGTACTAACTCTTGCATACACTTAACAGTACCAAATGAAAAATTACTACTTGTCTGACACAAGTACACGCTTATAAAAGTACATGTAAAACCAGTAAAGTACGTATTAAGAACCCTTTATACACCAGTGCAAAATGTTTTTTGGACATTGAGAAAATTATATTGAATAAAGATGTAAATATTGAGCTTAACTATATAATTTTCAATAAATTGTACATGGCATTTACCCCCAGGAAAAATGTTCAAACACTACCAAGTATCAGTAAACAGAATTCACTTTTATTTACTTCCGTATATCGGCCTTTTAAACTGTTAAGAATACCTGAATTGATTACAAATTGAGTAATATACCGTAAATTTCAATTTATTGGAATTTACATCTAAGGGCAGATCACTCTAACTGCAGAAAAATGCCGTGGAATCAGAACTCCTTGGTGTGCAGTGTAGAGAGGATTCTTAAATACTCAGTAGCGGTTGTTATTAGAGAAAAACATGATGCTGAGCTTTAATTTTAAAAGTGGGTGGAGAGAAAGAAACGAAGCTCTCATCCCCAACACTGTCAAAAACTCTCTGTGGCAGTCTGTCACTTTAAGAAATATTAATATTTGTTAAAATGATTAAGTTGTTGTGTATATATTTCAAGTCAATTACCTGACCATTTTCGAAACAATGCACAAAATCAATTTCAAGCGCAAATGAAGAATAACAAGAGATGTTCGTGAAACACTTATCCCCCCCCCCCCCAATAATTGGAATTTTCCTAAGTCCAAGGGGCATAACTCTGTCAAATATTGCTCGATCGTACCCAAAACAGAACTTGACCTAGACATTTTTACGATAAATCTGTATACCACATTTCATTTTAGTGTGTGCAACCTCTGCAAAGAAAATGAACGGAAACTGCAAATAATTGGATTTTTCCCAAGTCCAAGGGACATAAGTCTGTCAAAAATTGCTAGATCGTACCCAAAACAGAACTTGACCTAGACGTTTTTATGATAAATCTGTACACCAAATTTCATTTCAGTGTGTGCAACCTCTGCGAAGAAAATGAATGGAATCTAGTAGACCGACAGACAGACAGACGGACCGACAGACAGCACCAAAGCAATATGCCCTCCCTTCATCGGAGGGCCGGGGTATAAAATGAAAATTCTGTGTGTTTTCAATGAGGCTTTCACTGCTCTCCTGACAAAAATGTTAATAATTTTGTTGAATACTGGGGTAAAGATTGAAACAAAACTCAACAACAGTGTAGCTTACCTCTTCGATGTAGAAATAGTATAATGGAATTCTTAATATTTTTCATGATGCTATCACCTACAATAAAGATGAAAATAGATGAAAACCTTGCATGGATGCCTAGGAAATAAAAAGAGTACTAGTATAAACAGAAATTGAAATCAATTATGTACATTGGTTCTATAAATGGATTTGTACCTATTCGTATGTATCCAAACAATTTTATTTTCTTTAAACAAGCATGTCTGCTTCCCAATAGCATGAAATCAACATTTAAACTTCTTTTTTTTAAGAATGTATCTTTTCCTTTGATATTTTTTAAAGTCATTTCTAACCAGAATATATTGGTGATTTCTTCCTTCTATCCACACCCGCGAGGCTCACAAGGTTACGAAGAGCTCTTGAAATAATCGCTTAAATTTACAACGTAGTCAAAGATATCCAAATACCGTAATCACGTTAGGTCAATATATTTTTTAAAACCCTTATCAAGTTTCCAAAGTATTTCACAAAAAGAGTCATACATCTTATTTAATACATTTTTTCAGATTCCTAGTAATAATTCATATTCGTAGCGAAATCATTTTTCTATAGTCAGTTCTTAAAAAAAAAATATTACAAATCCAAAATACACAAGCACCACAAAGAAGAAATAAATCATATTTAAGACCACTATACACGTATACACCTACCCTCTGTCTCGGTTTTCAACAATTTTTTTTTAAAAAGTGTCATGCTTTCTGCTATAGCTTCAAGATGTACTTTCAAGCATACATGTAGATGAGTATGTGCATTTTATACTCAACATGGGTATTTTCCAAGATTCAATATGGAAAAACCTATGCAAGTGTTTTAGTGTCAAACTTAATTGTACGTATATGTCTGTGTATATACATTTTTCATTCATTATCTGTTTTGTTTTATTTAAATTTATACGTTTCTGACATTTACATGTAACCCCCCCCCCCCCGGATAAGAACATGATACAAAGTTTCAATGTATCCATATTAGATTCTTTATTTCTGATTTTTTAAAACAAGTATAGAATTTATCATTTTTAATTCTTTCATGTGAAGATTTGTGTGCAATACAGTTTAACACCAACACAAGGATAATGGTTTCATGATTCCATTTAAAATTTAAACAAAATACAGTTTATGGTGGAGAAATTGACGGGCTAAAAATCGATTATCGGTATACTATTCAAACAAGGCCACGCCAGCTTAGACTTTCCCTGTGGGCTCTCTCTTTTTTTCAAAGGACAAATTGTCCACACACTGTACACTTGGAAAGAAATCTGAACTAAAAAGCGAAAGTAATGTCAATTTAAATTGACGACCAATGGCTTTTTCCTTGAGCAATGTACTTGTTGAATTCTCAAAGCTATATAGCTTAATATATGCAATATATGTACTACAAAACCGGCAGGAACTGATATCTGAACTGGCTGTGCATTAAAAATAAATAAATAAACAAAAACAATCAACCAACCGTCTAAAAAACTGCAAATCTGTGATCCCGCTTAATCCTATGCTGTTCGGATTATTGGCAATATGTTCTGATGCGTGACGCTTGATTATTAAAAATGAACAGGTACAGACTCGGACATATAATTATATATATTTTTAAATTTAAAATATAATTAATCTTATTCTTTTTGCTCATTCATTTATCAATTTAGAACACTTTTCATTTGTAATTATCAAACTGAGAAAAAAATTGGGGATCAAAAACTGGTTCTGTTTAAATAAAATCAGATTTGTGTTAACAAGGAATTTTGCAATTCGTTTTCAAATAAATTACCTGATTGACGAGAAATTTCACAACTTTCATTGCATCTAAGTTCTGCCGGGTGGGTACTTCGAGTTTGTGTGAAATATGAATCCGTTAGTATTTACAGTCCAGACATCAACAAAATGTACACATTTTAAATTTTATATTGTATTATTTTGATCCGCTCCTTAATCTCTTATCAAGTTTGCTCAACCAGTCAATGAATAATTATACTGCTGTTCGGGGTGTTTCTGGACTGTACATGTACCATAATTCAGTATCGATCGGAACAAAGGATTAGGCCCTAAAATCGTTTTGTTTACGGGTCTGCATTAGGGCCTATTTAACTAGCCCATTGACGAATAAAAGAAAGCTTCGATTTAAAAATCATTGGCTTCTAACACATCTAAGGCATATCCAAGGAGAGAGAATATAATTTATAAATTATATACCTGTAATAAAATGCATAGTATAAATTATTTACTTAATTCATTATCCATTTAGAATTCAAGAGCTAAGGACCCCCCCCCCTTTTTTTTTTTTACCAAAAACATACATAAGCTTGATAAATAAATAAATCAAAAAAAGTTTTGTTGTTGGATATTGCATTTATTATACGTACAGTTTATATGTAGCTCAGTAAAATAAGTCACAAAATTGTTCTACAAATCTCCTTAAAAAACCCGGGAGTCTCCGGGGGTTTCGTCATCGGGGTTTTCCCTGAATCCACTAGGGGCCTTAAGGCAGCCCCTCCCCCCAATTTCCAACCTGTTGTCCCTCTCCCCATCAAGAATCTAGCTAAATCCACCACTGAAAAGTTATGTACATTGTACGATTACCAAAATATTATCAATCAAATCCCAAAGTTTTGATTTGAAACAATTTCATATATAACAGTCAAGAACCAGCTTATTATGTTAGTTGTTAGATACTATTATTAAATTGAGAGATTTGGCATTTTTGGTTAACAACACTGTTGTCCCTTCTTCATGAATGTAATATTCCCCATATATTACATTAAATTTGTTCGTGCACCTTGTACCTTTGTATTTGCTCTACACACTGTTCTTTCAGTTATGAGAAAAGAGTTCGACTCATTGTAAATATCAAGCCTAATCATTGCTAATATATCGCCATGATTGAACCCGAAGACAAAATTCTTTTCAGTACATATATGATTATATGTAAAATTCAAATTAATTTGTACATTTTATATAGAAATTCACTCGAAATAAGAACTCTAGGCTTCAAAGTGTTCAAAGGAAAGGGCTATATTTTTCCTAATAAACCGTTGAAAACACCAGTTTTAGATTTTCGTTGTAGAATGTTGAAGTCCCATACCAATATCTTTCACATGTTCTGGCAATCTGCAGAGACAAACTCTTACTTATACCGAAACGGTTTCAACACAATATTTAAGAAATGAAAAAAAAACCCATTGTTTCAGTGAACATGGTGTTATGAACAACATTTGCACTGCAGACATAAATGGGGAGCAGGGAGGACCGAAAACCCTAGCAATTGGCTAGTGCAGATGACATATTCAAACACCCCCCCCCCATTTTTAAAAAAAATATTATTATTCCTAATTATTGTGATTTGAATTTTAGTGTATCAGTGTTTATTCAGAGCTACTAATTTAGCGACAGAGACAAGAATTATTTTTTAATTCTTTTCAGTGACTTTTAAACATTTTGTCTTTTAAGGTGAAGGAACCTTTACTCACGTTAACGAACCTATTCACTGTAATGATTTTTTTTTATTTTTGTAAATTAATCAGAATTTTTTTTTTCTAACAGCTGATTAAGGTAAAAGACATTTTAAATTAGATATCACACAGAATTTGACTCAAAAATAAAAGCTTTATTTCTACACAGATGTTATTTGTCAATTTTAGAGTTATCTCTCTTGCAATTCATTGGCACAGAGAGAGAGAGAGAGAGAGAGAGAGAGAGAGTGAGGGTGGGTGTGGATTTCACGTGTTTCAACGAGAGAGAGAGAGAGGGGGGGGGATCAGAATCTGCTGGCAGATGTGGTTTGATAATATGGTTTGAACATATTTTATTGTAATTTATAAATACAATGGGATTGGGCACAAGTTCTGAAAACTTATTACGCCCTCTCCCTACATGTAAATTACACATTTAAATCGTCACAGTTAAACATGAAGTTTTAAAGTATACGATATTTGCAAAAGTTTACAAATCGATGCATTTTGCTGATATATAGATACACTTAATTTTGTACAAATGCATATACTGATACATTAATTAATGCTAACAAGGAAATCTACCAGAATGTTTAATAAATGTTTGAACAAAAGAAAAGAGACGTTCATTTTCTGCAGCATTCTGTCTTTTGATAATATAATTCTAGTGTATGAACAGAAATTCATCATGTTCATGTTTCACAAAATGCCTACACTTGAGTACATGCTCAGCATAACTGCAATACAACTTGTTGATCACGGAATCAAAAATAAGGTGCGCTATAATATAATACTATAATACACAGTACTTATTATAACATGATTACAAAATATTGAAAGAAACTGTGTATTTTCACGTAAGGGTTGAGTTGGGATTACTGCAGTGAAAACTGCATAATTTTTAATCTTTTAAGATTTTTTAATGTAAAATACCTGTTAAAATATACATGTACATGTACGTACAACGGAACAAATCATCAAAATTCCAGAGGTAATTTAGTCCTCCTTCCCCCTTTTTTTTTCTTTTTCTCTATGTCCACCGCACGTACATATGATCTATGTGTAAAAGTTTCAAATCAGTCTTTGATAAAACTGGGTTATTCTAGATCTAGGCACATTGACTAACCCTTAAAAATACATAGAAACTTCATTAAACGTTATCGAATACACGAGTTCCCCAAACAGTGTCCTAATTATACCTATATATAGACTCAGCAATAGTAATGGCAATAAAGATACAGAATATTCTACGTACAAGTCGAAACATATATGACTTTTCCACTAATTTGTACTGAAAAATTACTCTCTAATTGTTTTACAATAATCCTCTTTTTTCTAATATTTTTTGCAAGTTATAGTGTACTATCACTGCTCAGAGCAGAAGATCATTGCAGAAATTTTGATGTACAAAATCGAAGAGGCGATAAACGTGAGAAAATGTTTGTTCGAAAAGCTGTTTTTTTTATATGTTATTTATATGCGACAATTTGTTTTCCTGCGTGCTGACACTAAAACAAGGAAGATGTAGTGATATTTTACAGGGGGAAAAATTCATTGGCCTGACTGCCCTCAAAAGATCTAGAGAAAAATTGAAAAATAATATTTTGTATTTATAGTTCTGCATTCAGGAAGTACTATGAAGTTGTAAGAACAGAAAATGTACATATATAACATCAGGAAATTTATCCAGGAGAAGGAACGTGTTGATTTCCCCCCAAAAGCGGTATGTACAAGTAGGTGTGGACCTTATCGACTTGGTATTGTGTCTTGTAAAGAGGCGCCCTTGCACCCTTTTAAATGACCAAGATAATATTATAGAAATCGATTGAATTTTTTAATGTACTTGGGTTACCCGGTCGTTCACGAATTTGAGTGAGATAAGATCCAGAATTTACCAATATATGTACATTATCAATTTAATAAAAGGTATAGAGGAAAATGGACGCATTAAAATGTGTAACTTTACTGCTGTTGTATTTTATACCGCAGGTAAGTCGTATAAATTTATAGTACACTTTTTTACTTCAAATAAAAAAGAAGTTAAATACATGTCGAAAGTTAGAGTTTTCATGAGAAAAATGAATTTAAAAAAAAAAAAAACAGGAGGTGCTAAAAATCGCCAGGTTTTACTTAGATCTTAAATAGAAATCATATCCTGATGATTTTGAGGACATGCACCTAGTTTTGGCTATCAATCCGAACAACCGAAAAAACAAAAAACGCAAGTTTTTTCCCCTAATTTCTTAAAAAGACAATATCTGAACAATCACTTGTACATTCGTCGATGTCTTTTAATCGTTATGTTCTTGGATTGAAATTTCTACCTCATCAATAATAATCATTATCTCTTCCCATTTTTCTTTCAATTTTGCATATCATTTGAACTTGTCACTAAATACAACAACCTCATCTAGTCTTGTTGCTTTGTTGTTTTGCAGCTAGTGTTTGGCGAGGTGTATGTTGCGGTGTCCATTAAATCGTACGAGAACCCTAACAACCGTGTTGAACTTGGAAGAGGGATTTCTCATTCTGTCATCTGCTGCCACCGGGAATCAGGCCCTAATTGTACCACTGCGTGTACACCATTTGTCCGCATCTGTCTGTAGTAAGTATTCTTAAAAGGCTTTTTATCTGTAACATAGAGTGGCGGATCCAGAAATTGTAAAGGGTGGTCTCCTTTAAGAGGGCTGGATAGTCGTGACCAGTCTTAGGCTATTCAAACCTCCTGGAAAACAAGAGCTCTTCAAAAAAATTATAGGAAATTACGTTTACAAAACAAGAGTTTATGGCTATAGAAAAATCACATTTCATATTTTTAGATGGATCTGTTAGGAATTTTGTTGTCCACCCAACCTCCTTAATATCTAGTAAATGAAGTGATGATTACATGGGAAAAACGTTACAAAAAGAGAGGGGCTATGATATCTGCAATTATATTATTTCACACATTCATCTCTTCAAAGCGTAGCAATATATATCTACATGTGTCTTACACATTAACCTAAAACTGACAAAAATGATCATGTGGTAAAAAGCGAAAAGAATTATCCTAGTCCAAAAACTAAAGAACCACAATTATGACTATTAAGAATTTTGATACAATTAACGGTATATGTTGTCAAGTTTATGAAATTTGATTGTATGCTGAAATATGTATAGTAGTTAATTCCTAAACTTCTTGTTAAACTTTTGTCCTGCACATAAATTTTCATACATGTATGTTTATATGCTCACGCTTTAAAATTGTTAACCTTTCGAGATTTGAATTTCTTATAAATCAGCGAAACCACCAACAAAAGATGTGTTGGAGAACAAATTAGTAGTCCTTTAAATCAAACCCAGAACATGACGTTCACGGATAAAATTGGAAATTTGACGAACCCTATCATCCTCAAAATACCAAACTGGTCGGTAAGTACAACTAAAACCCTGACATTCATCCATAAGAAAAATTATTGTCTCTTACTTGTTCTCATGTCTTTTAATTTCTTTATGCAGGCAAAGGATCACTATAACATTCAGGTTAAATTCTACGACATCGGTTCAACGTTCGAAACCATATTTTATAATGAACAACATATCACGTCAAGTCCAGCAGACAGCGCGGGTGAGGCAGTGGAATATATAAGTAATCTCCCATACAAACCGACTGGCGCTAGGTATTCACGGTTATAATACAGTACTAATTCTTTTTTTACTCTCAAATTTTAATTTTAAAATTTTAACGATATGTTATGAGGAATCATAATTTCAAATTTTATCCCAATATTTAGAGAAAAAAAAAACATTTTGCAGAATATTTGGAAACCATGCATTTTATGCTGCTCGCGAAAAGCTTATTTACAAACATGGATCCCTTAATTAGTTTAGAACATTGACTGACCTGTACAAGTTGTGAGAGAATCTCATATCTTCTGATCTATCAACAGGGTGGAGACTTCATACCGTCTCTACAAGTGTAGTTCATCGCCGGACGGTCACATAGAGTGTGACGCAAAAGGTAATACCGTATGTGCTCCGGATTTCTACGGATCATCTTGCAGCATTCACTGCAAGGTCGCTGTTGGTCAAAATTTTCAATGCGACAAGAACGGCACAAAAGTTTGCAAAGAAAACTATTTTGGTGATAATTGTACGATTCTTTGTGTTTCGCCACGTCATGGGGTATGTGACGTCAACGGTACGATTCACTGCAATCCAAATTATTTTGGAGAGAAATGTGACGTCTTCTGTTTGACACCAGCAAATGGAACCGGACATTGTGATTCAAACGGCACTCTGATATGTCACCCAGGTACTAAAACTTCGATTGATATAATTTTTTTCTCTTTTTAGATTTATACATTTGGTTTGATCTTTTTTCTCGCAGTTTGATTCATGTAAGTTCAATACATTTAACTGGGTTTTTTAAATAAGCATAGAAATTTAAAATGTAAACAATGCAACTATGTCAAGGCCCCTTTAAGATATAAGTATTATTGATAATAATATAATTTGGTTAATGTAATTTGATGCTAAGTTTTTCGGTTACGAACGAAGATTGTAATTCCAAAAATGTAACTAGGTACTATCAATCAATACATTTTTAAAAGTTTACTTTTATAGGATGGACTGGAATAAACTGTTCAACAGTTCAAAAACTTTGTGAGCATGGCGTGTCAGTACAAGATAAATACAGTTCCAGGGGTTATAAATGCTACTGTGAGTCTGGATGGACCGGTCCTCGGTGCTCTGTCGATATCAACGAATGCAACGATACATCGATGTGTGTTCACAACGATCAATGCGATAATCGTCCAGGCGGATATCTGTGCATTTGTTCTCCTGGCTGGGAGGGTCAAAGATGTGATACAGACATAGATGAATGCAAACAAAATCAGTGCATTCGAGGAAACTGTTCAAACACGCCCGGTAACTTCAGCTGCCTTTGCGACCATGGTTGGATTGGTGATATGTGTGAAAAAGAATTGAATGAATGTAACTCAAGCCCTTGCAAAAATAATGGAACCTGTCATGATATGGATGGATACTATAACTGCACATGCCCAGTTGGAATAACCGGAAATAACTGTGAAACCGACATTGATGAATGTGCATCAGTTGTGTGCCACAATAACGGAACCTGTCAAGACGGTTTAAATAATTTTACTTGCCTTTGTAAAGCAGGATATTCCGGACGCTTGTGTGCGCAAGAAATAGATGAGTGTGCCAGTTCACCTTGTAAAAATAATGCCTCTTGTGTGAATGGAATAAATAGTTTTTCTTGCCAGTGTCTTCCAGGATGGAATGGCACTTTGTGTGATGTTGATATTGATGAATGTGCATTGAACTCTTGTCAGAATAATGCGACATGCAACAATGGAGTTGGTTTTTACACATGCTCTTGTGCAAGTGGATTTTACGGTAAAAACTGTGAAACTGATGTAAACGAATGCACAAGCAATCCGTGCATGCATGGTGGAACCTGTAGAAATGTAAAGGGTGGTTTTAAGTGTGACTGTCCTCCTAGTCACATTGGCGACAAGTGCCAATATCAGAACTTTTGTAAATACGACCCTTGTAAAAACAATGCCACTTGCATCAACAACAAAACTGAATTTACATGCCAATGTACCGAGGGATGGAAAGGGTTCGACTGTAACACCGATATAGACGAATGTCAAGCCAATCCGTGTGTTCACGGTAACTGTTCTAATACTCAAGGTAGTTACGTCTGTCATTGTCAGTCTGGATGGACATCATCTGTATGTGATCAAGACATTGATGAATGTAAGAATGATCCTTGCCAATACAACTCAACATGCATCAATATGAACGGTACATTTGAATGTCATTGCGCTAAAGGTTATACCGGTGAAAACTGTAGTATAGACATCGATGATTGTCAAAATGTCACGTGCCAAAACAACGCAACCTGTTTGGATCTTCTAGATGACTTTGCTTGCAATTGTTCCCTAGGATTTGAGGGTCGATTTTGTGAGAATGAAACGAATGAATGCAGTAGCAATCCTTGTCAGAATGGTAACTGCTCAGATTTAATTGGAGCTTATTCATGTTTGTGTTTACCAGGGTGGGAAGGTGACAAGTGTCAAATTGATATCAACGAATGTCGTTATGTAAATTGCTCAAATAATGGGACTTGCGAAAATTCAATAGGTAGTTACCATTGCAACTGCACCGCTGGGTTTTCTGGTGTTCACTGTGAAACAAACATTGATGAATGTGCATCCAATCCGTGTCAACACAGTGGTACATGCCAAGACATGGTAGATGATTTCTGGTGTAACTGTGATAGTAGATACACGGGTAAAATGTGTGAGTACGAAGACTTCTGCAAATATCATCCCTGTAGAAACAATGGTACCTGTGAACAAAAAGGCAACGAGTTCACATGTAAATGCCCATCTACGTGGTCAGGTCTTGCATGCGAAAATGACATCGATGAATGTGCTAACGGGTCCAATACGTGCAGTGCAGGAGATCTATGTATTAACATACTAGGAGGTTTTGACTGCTTATCATGCACACAGTCGACTTGTCATCATGGAAACTGTTCGATTAATACTAATACATCTGATATATTGTGTAGTTGTGAGCCAGGATATGCAGGAGAAAAATGTGATCAAATAGACAACTGTACGCCTTATCCTTGTACGCATGGGTACCGCTGTACCAATGAAGATGATGGTTTCCGTTGTCACGATCCCTGTAAGTCGTCACCATGTGGTAACAATGGAACGTGTACCGCGGTCAACGGAACTTACAACTGTAATTGCTCTACAGGTTTTATGGGAAGAAACTGTCAACAAAAGAATTACTGTGCTAATATTACATGTCAGAATAACGGGACCTGCAGCAACAATCTCAGTGGTTTTAAGTGCACTTGTCCACAAACCTTCACTGGCAAACTTTGTGATAAGTTTGATTACTGTGTATCAAGTCCGTGCCTGAACAACGGAACGTGTTCTATAAGTACCACAGGATCTGTGGGATCCCAGAATTACACGTGTTCGTGTTCGTTTGGATTTACTGGTCCAGATTGTAATCAGACTGATTATTGTGCTCCCGATCCATGCATTCACGGCAACTGCTCAATTTCCAACAATACTTATGAATGTAAATGTAATTCTGGTTGGCTAGGGACAGATTGCGATCTGGAAGATTTCTGTCTTCAGAAACCATGCGAAAATAATGGAACATGTGCAAATAATAATCAAACATTCACGTGCAATTGTGCGGATGGATGGATCGGACATAATTGCACGGAGAATGATCCGTGTTTTCCTCAAAAGTGTTTTAATGGAGGCACATGTATTGTATACAAAAAAGGCTTATTCTATTGTTCATGTGCTCAAGGATACGCTGGGCACAACTGCTCAGAAGATGTAGATGAGTGTCAAAGCCAAACATTAAATAATTGTCCCCCCTTTTTGACCTGTGTCAATGTTCCAGGACATTACAATTGTGTACCTCACAACGGTCATCCCAGATCATTGATTGGTAGGTCTTATTATTTATAACTATCCACACGATTATTGCATAATTAGTATAACATGTCTTTTCTAATCAACCTTTATTATAATTCCATATTCCAAGTATATATGCATTTTATATTTTAATTTCGAATTGGAATTAGACCAGCTGGGGCCCGCTTAGAAAAGAACTTACGACTAAGACCAAAAACTTCAGTTGATTTTAAAATTTTGCAAAATTAATTATTCTGTATAAAATTGCAAGAGTAAAAGTATCTTTCTACATACCTTTTAAAAATATTCTATTCAATGTAAATTAGAAAGTTATTAGCAGAATTAGATTTTGGTCTCAGTCGTAAGTTCTTGTTATAAAACGGGCCCCAGAGGCCTGTTCAACAGAGGGAACGTTCGCGAGCGCTCGCCAAAATTCCTTATCCCTCCAACAGAAATGTTGCTCGCTCTGTTGAACAGGCCTCTGGTTTGATTACATGTTCATGTAACTCTATTGATCTGTTAACTTTATGATGTGCTATTTACAAACTTCTTCTAGGCAGTATAGGTGGTTCATACAAGAGCAAAATAAGGAAACTATTGGTTGACAGTAATTTTGAAGAGTTTGTGACTGGTTTGAAACAGGAGCTTGTCAACCGTAACATTTGTGCACAGGAAGCGGAAGTTGATATATCTGTATTGCAGATTGAACAGGATTTAATGTGAGTTACTGTCTTCCTTTAATCATAAAATATACAACATTTAAAACAAATATGTTTATGATATATTGATCACTATCTAAAGTTTAATACAGAGTTTAAAGTAGGAAGTTATTTATATTTTTTTTAAGTCAAAGCACTAAATTCTCTAGACCATAGAAAATGTTGAAAGTATGTAGGCACTAGATGTTCTTTGATTCTTTTTTGTAGTCTTAACCAATCTGTTGTGGAAATGAGAGCACTCTGCAGAGGGAAGATTATTTCACAAGAAGATCTGATGCTAGCTCTGTCAAGTTTAGGCTTGGTGTAGAACATGTTTAGAATCTTTTCCTAGACTTTTCGATTTTGTAACAACTTGCTGTCATCTTACATGAATGTTACTTGTTTCAGAACCTGATGTTAAGAAAGCGAGCTCGAAAGTATACTCTGTAGTCGTCATTATCCGGCAGACCATGTAATTATACATTCATAATGAATAAATTAAATATTGTGTGTTGCAAAAATAAGTAAAGTTCAATGGATGATTGTATATTGACCGTTAATGTAAATAATGTGCACGTAAAAAAGTAAAGTTTATAATTTGAATTCATAATTTTTGCCCAACTATTAATTACATATTTTTCTTTTACTTGAACGATTTCCTCTATAATCATAATATAGTATCATACATTTAATTTTTAAATTTTGTTTTATCATACATATATTCCTTTCATAGTCTATTATTAAAATTTACATTTTTTCATTTGGTTGGTTTTATTAGTTTTATATACTATCTTTAGATCTATCTTTATATTGCTATATTTTCTAAATAAAAAATTAAATTACATACATGTATATTATTGGTATATCATTAGTAAAGTCAACATTACAATCAACATTAACTTTTTCTGCAAATATGAAAAATATTGTTAGAAAAAAGAAACTCGCTGTACATAGAATATAAAACATTTTTATTGCAGTGTTTCACCGTTTTTAGCTTTAATTTTGATCGATCTTTGTCTTTCATTCCAATATTAAAAATGTTTACGGAGCATGGAACTCTGTATAATTTGCAATTCTATGATTTAAATGTATGTAATGGTTCTTAAATTTGGAGTCTGTCTGTTGTCTTCAAAAATACACATTTCCAAGACTCTTTCACATAGGATTTTGCAAGGAAAAACCATGTAAAACTGTTTTTTGATGGTCCTTCTGTCATTGCGTTTTGTAACAGTCGTTTAGGAGTAACAGAAAACTTGAACATTGTATGATCTTTTAAGAAAATATTAACGGTCATGTAAATACTGGCTTCACTTTTGCCTTCTTCTCCTTCATCCTTGTCATAAGTGACGTCATAATATATACGCAATATGTATTGTGACGAATATATAAAGACTGTTACGAAGCGTTGTCAGTAGCCCTCATGGCTCAGTGGTTAGAGCATTGGTCTCGTAAACCAGGGGTCGTTATTTCGAATCTCACTGAGGGCAACATATAATTTTTAAAATCGTGTGTGTCTTAGGGTCGGTACACACGGTAAGGCTTGCCTTATAAGTCTAAAACCTTACGTTTTGCAGGACGTACGGCTCTCGTGTCCACACGTTAAGGCAAGACTTACAAGATTATATACAACACTTCCATAAATTCCACGTGTTTCCAGCCGTAAATAGTGCATTCAGTCATTAAAATATAAGAATAGATTACTAGGCTTTGTAATAATTATACCAACAAGTACATTCACACTTCTTAAAAAGAGAAAGAGGTTGAACAGAAGCATTTGTGGGTATTTCAAATAGGTTATTCGAAAATACTTTGTGTTCACTTCAATATACCCATGTGTATGGTTTGATAAAAATAGAATGACATTTGAGCGAATGATTTTCATTGGTTGAGAAGAAAATTTCAGCTAAGTCTTGTATTAAGAAATAGAGCAGTGTTCTATTTGTAAGTCAGACTTTTAAGGCTCGATAAACTGTGTATTAAGGGTCTACACAGTAAGGCTAGAACTTAAGTTCTATGACTTATAAGGCAAGCCTTATCGTGTGTACCAGCCCTTAATCACAGTTTGCTTTTATTGTGTTGTGTGGAACGGGGTGTTCTGTGTGGCTTATTGTATATTAGCATCAGACTAGAAACTTGCAGGAGTTCGATTCCAGGTCCAGCCATAAATATCCTTCGATCTTTCCTGTTTATATTTGGTGCCGTTGCATGTAACCATGTGCCGCTCGATATGAAGGTGAAAGTCCGACCAGGGACAAAAGAGGGCGATAACAATGTAATATACAGCTGAAGTCCCGGTTTCGATTCCCAGTCCAGCCATAAATTTTCTCCTTTCCTCAGTTTCCTGTTACATCTGAAACCGCTTAACTTGCATATGAACATAATTTACAAAGGCCTGATAGAGAATTGTTTCTTCGAGAATATGTAGTTGTATTCTTGAAGAAATGCACATGTGTTTTATTGATGGTCAGTATACGATTTGTAGCCAGGAAATATCCAAAATTAAGTTCGAAATGTTTTTATTTTTTATATAGTACAAAATCCTGGAGAAGATTACAATTGGTAGCCAGTCTGTTGTTAATTGAATCGAATTTGACCTTTTTTGCAGTTAAATTCAAATTGCAGTCATTTCCAATTAACCATTGAATTAAAGCCAACCATGACAGACAAATGAATGGAAGGTTAATGAACCTCTTCTGTTTTCCACTATATAAATAAAACTGGCTCATTTATATTTGTTTAATCTCTAAAATTCACCTGAATTCAATGTATCCCCCCAGTAGATAACAGTTTTATGACCTTTGAGATCGGCAAATCAGCGGACCAGAAGCGGTTGGTGGAATAAACATAGTTTCCTGTAGGAATCAGTGGCTCGTTTTACAAAAGAACTTACGACTAAGACCAAAAACTTAAGTTGATTGTAAAATTTTGCAAAATTAAGGATTCTGTTTAAAATTACTAGCGTAAAAATATATTTCTACATTCCTCTTAAAAAGATTAAAACCATTTTCAGTTTAATGTAAATTAGAAAGTTATAAGCAGAATAAACGTTTGGTCTTAGTCGTAAGTTCTTTTGTAAAACGGGTCCCAGATTTTACCAACTTCCTTGTTCGACGGTATACTTTGATTAACTGTATATACATGCATATATAATAGTTTGTACTCAGAATTCATATCATTATATGAAATTATACTTATATACTAATATTTATTTTCAAAAATATATTTGATATACTTAACAAATACTAGAAAAGAAGAAATAATATTCTTATCTGGCAATCCACAAATTAAAATTTTGTCCCGTCGAATGAAAACGATTCCAGTATTTTATAAGTATATGATTTAGCCAATAATGCATTTTCAGGTTCATCCACGGAAACAGACGGGGGGGGGGGGGAGGAGGGTTAATGGTGTCTTATTTTCATTAATTTCAAAAGAAATGTTTTGGAAATTCCTATGATCAAGAACAACAAAGACAAAATATTTTATATTAAAATTCAAGCATCATCATTAAAGTAAAGAGTCAACCTCGCGGACGTTATTGTGATTTCTCTTGTGAAATTCAAGTTATAATTTAAATTCAAGCAACACAGTCTCTCGTGACCCATTCAAAAGTTTAAGGTTAAAACCAGTTTTGATAATAAAAGATATTCAGCAGTAAACAGTACATTGATATTTAATGTACATGTACTCTTTTTTAACAATGGGACACTGCTTATTGTGTACTGTAATGGTGTTTACATTACATGTGCATGTTTTTTCAAAGAAGATAGTTTTAAAATTTCATCGAAAAGATATTTTAATAAATGATTCAGAAAACATGAATACTGATTAAAGAAGTTTGAATAAGTATAATAATTCTAGAGAAAGACTGGGGTACATTGAATTCCTGAAATTTTTTTCAGTGGTAAAAACTGAAAAGTAATATAATTTATTTTTCTACGTACATGTATACAGAAAATACAACTACATGTACTTAAATTCCTAGGTATACTTTACCTAATCCTTTTGCAGTGCTAGTCTCGTCCAGTTTCGCTGTAGTCTCGCAAGAGTTGTTGTAAATTCTTCGGGTATAATATTTTGCTGACCCCCCCCCCTCCCCCCCAAAAAGTAAAATTTAAAAAAATAAAGAAGTTTCCAAGCATACACATGGTTTGATTTATAACTTGATTTCCAGAGAGTATTATAGTAAAGGCAAAAATAAAGGCTCGGGTTTTCAGATAAGATAAAAATGGCTTCCTCAAACACAAAATGCAGTTGCATGCATATATGATATTTCTCAAACGAATATGCAAGCATAATGATATGCTTTATATGTTTTTTATAATTTAGATTTATGGTATACGACCACAATGCAGTGGTTTGTTTATATTTAATGTAACTCAGGTCAGCAGCGTGTCCTGTTGACCTTTTATTTCGTCAAAATCCTCAGCGCAATCATATTTTAAAGAATTAAATTCGAACTTCTGTTGGCAACTCAAGCTATCAGAGCTTTTAATTCTTTGAGAATGTATTTGCTTGTAGATTATAAATTGATGGATAGATGTAGTTTTTTTTTCTGAACAGATTATATTTTAGGCCTTTGTTCTACTCGCGGTATGTAAAATAAACCTGATGGAAGCTTAAGCTGCTGGTAGGCTATATACCTCGTACGTACAATACAGTCTAAACCGGCTTGTCCGTCTCGCAGTGTAAGCATTCCCTCAATGTGGAATTAAACATTGTAGTAAACTAATGACAATTAACAATGGCTTGTTTATGATCGTCAGATTTTCATGGAAGGGCTAATCAACACGTTGATTGCTTGAACACGTGACACACGTCTGGTCAATGGCTGTCTTTATGATTGACGTGTTCGATTTATTTTGGATCCATATCTAACAGGAAACTCTATTAAAAACATACAACACACATACTCTTTAAGTTTATCATAGTTTAATTGGTACCGCAATTCCATTCAATGATGACCTACAAGAGTGGTGGATGATTTCTTTTTCAACAAAAACAATTTTAAGGCAAGTGAATTTTTTTTCTTATCTTTCTGAAATAATTTATAAATAAAAATGATAAATGATCAACAAAACGTTCTTTTACTGAATATTGGATCTGCCTTAATGAAAGATTTCACGGAACACGGAGGAATGATTTTCACAGCAATATCAATTTACAAATATTTGAAAAACAATTTGTTATTGTGTACATGTAATTCATTTGTTTGTGTGTGATTAATTGGGGTTTAGAATTTAGTACCAGTGGAATACGTTGTTCTGATAGATTTTAAAAATACATGTATTTTTATTGTAATTCTATGCTGCGTTTTATTATATAAGAGCTGTATATTTCTTGTATATTTCTTTATAATTAAGGACCCCCCCCCCCCTTCCCAAAAACTAAAATGTTAATATCGCGGAAAAAAATGTTAGAAAGAATGTTACAGGCAACTTTTGGATGCTTCTTTTACTTTTGCAAACCGCAAAAAAATAGAATAAATAAATTAAATAAAAAACAAAATAAATAAAAATAATTTTTAAAAAATGAAGCTCAGAAAATACAGTATCTCTAGTGCGGTATTAAATTGTTTTGTTGCATTTAACTTTAGTTAACTCTTACAATTTTAAAATAAACCACAATGTAGAACTAGAGACTATTTCTTGTAAACCCTTATTTTTTATGCTATCTTCAAAGAAAAATAAATCCACGAATTACTACAAAAAGTTGTTGTTACTTATTTAGCTTATTTAGATTTCATTAATATAATCGATGCAGTCTCTAAATACTCGATTTATTCATCTTTGCAAATTCGCATGACAATACCTATATTAGTACACAAACGTAAGTTTATATTAAAAAGGTTAATCAACCGTCATGGGACATGTTTTTATCGAAATTCTTTAATTCACATTAATTCTTCTACTCTTTATCCGTATTGAAGTTCGATTCAAATGGGTTTCAATTTCCTCCCTGCGGCTGTGCTAATTCTAGCGGTATTTATCGTTGATCAACCATTTATAAATCCACTAGATTTTTCCAGCATTAATCAATGGGAAAAGTACAGAATTAATGAAAATGTAGAATTTTCATGCTGAGATATTTATTAAGAAGTCCTGGAGGAGATATAGTCCATTTCTTATGTAGCTAATCTAACTTTTGGAGAGAGAGAGAGAGAGAGAGAGAGAGAGAGAGAGAGAGAGAGAGGGCTAAGCAATGGTGACATTCATGTGGGTTAGAGGGTCTTTCCTTAATTTTCCACCTTTAGCTTCTTTGGGTTTCTATTGTTGCAGATTTCCCTATTTCAACTATTTAACAACTTAACACCCCAAAATGAAAGTGTGAAGAAGATAATACCGGTATTTAGATTTACGTCATACCTACATGTATATCATTCTTTGTGTCGATAATAAGGCATAGCAATAATTATTCTAAAACACATAAAGGATTTTTTATACTAGAAATTAATTCTAGGTATTCATGGTTAAATTTTCAAATCACTTATTACTTACAACAACAAAAATCGATATTTAATTCATGCAATACATGCTGATATGTAAGGAGTGGCAATTACAGATATTGAAATTTGAATCTAATGCCACTAAAATCCGACATTACGGGGGCCTAAGTATGTGCATTGATTTCCGAGCAATATGAATCAAATCCCGACAATTTTTAATGGAAATGGAGGGTATTGTCCATAAAAACAAATACTACGAGTGTTAAAAGGTCACAGCTATATAGACTCTTGATTTACCATGAATATGTCTGCACTTTTGTCAACTTGAAAACAATGAAACTTTCATTTATTTTCAATAATGTGTACAATTTGTCTTTGTTTTCTGTTCAGATGCAGAGAGTCTTATATTGCGTGTCCTGCATTATGATAACCATAAGTAAGTACACTTTTTATTTCAACTTTAATTTGAAATATTTAAATTACTTTACTCGTATTTAAAACATTTTTTACAAGACTTTCAGGTTTATATAATAGTTATCTTAAATGAGTTTTTTTTTTTAATATAATGAAAAATTGTTCATTGTCTTTTTTGTATTCTCAGCTTGATCTTCAACAAACCCTTTTCAATTTTATCTACAGTTGACACAACCTACATGTAACAAATAGAACATTGATTCAAACAAAAAGCCAAGGTTTTGTCTGAAAAGACTTCCTCCTCAAAATAAATGATATGTCGTACTTTTCTTTATGAAGAAATCATATCTGATATATGACATATAATTCACAAATAAAGCTATCAAAGTCATGCTTGGGTTTTCAAAAAGTCAAAATATAGTTTACATTGTAAATCGGAAAGAAATCTTCCCAAGAGAGCAAGATAAAAATTTGCCATAATACATGTATTTTGCAAGAAATGTGATGCAAATTTAATTATAATGGATTCAATTTTCACAAATTCATTTCGTCTAAGGTTAGATTTGAACGACAAAATTGCCCAAAATTTTGAAAAGGGAAATGTGAGGAAAGTTTTTTTTTTAAATTCTTCGTCAGGAAGGATTCATTTTGTTGAATTTACATAATAGAATCTTCTTATAGACGTGTACATTAAAACCATTGTTCAAATCCGAGTCTCTTAGAGTAGTGTGTACAGAAGCAAGGAAAACAGAGTGGGGCGATAAGGTTAAGTAAAAAATACATTGAATTGATCTTACTCCTATATGTGGCAAATAGTTTGTTTGTTTGTATGTTATTTAACGTCCCTCTCGAGAATTTTTCACTCAGAAGGAGACGCCACAATTTGCCGGTGGGGGGCTACAAATTAACCTATGCTCGGCACTTAGGGCCATCGGGCAGTGAGGGATCTTTTTTGTGCCAACACCTACTGCAACACGGAACCTCGGTTTATACAGTCTCATCCGAAGGACTGGTCTCCACGTCCCACAGTGGATTCGAACCCGCGACGTAAGGATCAACTTCTTACTTCGCGACTCTAGAGAGGACGCTCTAACCACTGCGTCACGCGGGCGACTGTGACAAATAGTAGTAAATATCTAAAATCGTGAAATTCATGTATTGAGTTCTACAAAGTTGGTTAAACATTAAAAATTCATTAACCCCCCCCCCCCCCTGGACTTAAGCAGTTTGCATAATTACTATTTTATAATGAACAGTTGTCCCTATAATAAATATATTGTTCCTGTCCCTTGGGTTATCAGGGTTTGGGCTAAGTTGCTAATGCTGGTATAAGGAAAGGAATAAAATTATAAATATTTCTTAATAAATAATCCTCTAATTTCTTGACTTTCAAGAAGGTTAATTTTTGCATTGTGATAAAATACAAGGCGTTTTCGCAAAAATTGTAGATTGTAGAATTAATGCTACATGGATCCACATTTCTCGTACCGGGGGTGGGAGGGTGTAAAAATGGTCATGTTTTGGGAAATTCTTGGTGCTCGGATGACCTCTATTTATTCCTGGGTGTCTTTCTTGTTTTTGTCAACTTTGATGCAATTTTCCACATGAAATATATATAAAATAATTAATATTCTTTTAACTTTCCATGAATATCTTGTCCATTATAGCCATTTCGATGTCATTACCGAAATGGACCAATCAGAGATTTGTTTTTACTATATACAACGCAAACCACACCTGGAACGAGGCCAGAGAAATTTGTCGCAACAACGATCAATGGTTACTGTCTATGGAGGATAGAAATGCATGGTCCATGTGGAAACTTCTTTTGTGAGTATAGGCATGTCGTGGCTTACATGAGTCTAGTCTGTTTTATCTCTATCCAGTGAAGACCAAAGGAACTTAAACAAGTTGCTGTCCTTTAAAAAAAGACTGCAATACGTGGACCATATGCATGTGTTTCTAAACGAAATTCAAAGAAAATTTCCAGATTTAGTGATTTTACAAAGGTGTAATTAAATTTAATTTTTTTTTTACATGTATCTTGTAATTTTCATCGTTATTTAAGTCTGCTTAATTAGGCTGTAATGTTAAAAAAAATCATGACCTTGAAATGATGTGAATATGAAATGTTGATCTAGGTATCTACATGTATCACAATTGTAAAGTAGCCTTTAAAATTAACAATAGAATTAAAAGAGGCTTAAGCGTGCAGGTATCGTAATGGTTGAATTTTAACTCCATTGGCGGATCCGGGGGGGGGGGTTCGGGTGATGGACCCCCTTTATTTTTGCAGGAAGAGAAAGAGAGAGAGAATTTTCTTCTGTAATGTAGATATTTTTACGTCTAATATTTTCAATAAAATAAGTACTCCAATCTCTGCCCTTTCTGCACTCTAGATAGAGTTTTGCTTATTGTTATCCTCCGTGTATCTTCACAACCCCGGCCCCGGGCCTCGACAACCCACACGAAACATGAAAGTTTTTAAAAAATCGAGGCGGGGGTAAAAAAAATCGGGGCAGGCGGGGATGAGAATCTAGGATTTTTTTTTATTATGGCCTTATATACTCGGTCAAAGCTCATTTTGATATCATCGGAAGATTCCGGCGAACGTACATAGCATCTTCTAAAGTAACTAACTTTAAGAGGGAGTATCCATAAGAGAATATTTATCTCCTTATATTATGGAGATATTTTAATCAATGAAGAGAAAGGTTCAAAATGTCCCCGTAGTATGTGGGGAAGGGGGGCTCACTTTTTCTTTAAAAAATAATCTTTCGTTATAATTTGAATATATAAGTTTTGATTTGCAATGGAAGCTCTCCCGCACCTTTTGTTGCGGGAAGGTTCAAAATACGGAAAATCAAACATTTAAAAGAAATCAAAATGTACCGAAAAGTTAGACGAAGCCCCCCCCCCCCTTTCCCCCCGAAATAGGATTTTACAGTGTGGTACACAGGTTGATATTTAAATTAATTTATTTAGTTTTGCTTGTCAACTCTTTTTGGAGGTTGCCCCCTTTGAAAACCGTTGCTACGGGCTTAAATGCAAGTGCCTGCGGTGTGACCTAGAACCCCCCCCCCTTTTTTTTCAAAAACTGTTGTATCCGACCCTGTAGCACTAGAGGGTCTCGGCACTAGAGGGTCTCGAGTTATCTAAAACGATGCTAGGTTAACGATTAACTCGATCAATTTAAAAACAAAAAAGATTAATGTGTGTGTGTATGTTTTTTCTCCGCTGTCTCTTTTTAAATAACGGAATGGTTAATATATACAACACCTGCAATCGTAACTTCTCGGCAAAACAACGTATTTTACCGAGCTCGCCAGAAGGTCTGAGAAGATGCGATTGACAATCTCATCGCACTTGTGTAGACCTAGGCTATTTGGTCTTGCAAGCACAGGTGTGTGCACTGTTTGCTAGTGACGTTTAGACTGGTGACGGTATTTGCTACGGACATGAAGAACTATACATCAGTTTCATATATAACATGTGCAGTTTTTTTTCTAGTGAAAATTGGAGTAAATTAAAAGTCGAATATTTTTGATATGGGGTTATCCATATCTATTCTTGTTTCAACGATCGTCAATGCATCCATGGACGAGTTCATTGGTTACTCTGAAAGGTGGCACAGGTTAAAATTTCGTTAAGATTTTCTACAATGATCTGCCTACTTTGAGTGATTGTACATTCATAGCAAAATTGTTATTTAAAAAATTGGGCTTTTTCGATATATGTAATCTATAACGGCTGGGACTTGACATCTGTACTGAATTTATACGGAAGATATTCTATCACTGGAAAGATAGATGGTACACGACAGATCTGTAGTACACAGAATTTTTATTTTTTGATGTTTCTCCCTCTCCCCCACATGGAAAACGTTTCTACAGGCCTTTATCATGTTTATCAAGCTATATTTGGATTGCTGTCTATCAAATTATTTTGCGAACCTTGATGCACAAAACTAATGCCGGTAACCATGGTAAAGACTATCTTTTAAAACTTAGTGGTTAAATTAAGTTTTTAATTCAACATGCTCAAGCTGTTAATTAGCTATCTACTCGTATATAAATTCTTCCTACTTATTTGAAATGCTTGTACCATAGAATTTAGTTTGTATATAAGGATATACATGTATGAAATTAAGAGAAATTCATATCTTGGTTACGCCAAAGAATGCGTAAACACGATGTGCAGATTTTTGAGCGAGGTTTGCCATTGATTGGCATATTCTAATTCAAAAGGGCGAATTGTTTTAAGGGCAAGTTGTCTTAGAGGCGAACTCTCTAGCATTCTCGCGCATGCGTAGCCTGACGAAAGCCCATGGCATCCGGTTTAACCCCGCTTTTTCTGCGTGGACCTCAGGGTCCACGCAATTAATGCGCCTTAAATTGATGCGCTGGAAATATGTCATGTGGCCATCTGTCTGTCTGTCCAGTTCAGTTCAGTTCAGTTCTTTATTCCGTGGGAAGTACATCCCATAGGCATTACTGTACAATATAATATATTTATCAGTTACATACATAGTACAATATCATGATATACACTTACAAACTTGTGATACATACATTCTATTATTTAGCTAATTGTTTTAAACATTCTAATCGTAACTTATTAGCATGATATATATATTTACCTAACTGATTTACATCTTTGGTATTTGTACTACAAAATAGTTGTATTAGTTTAAAGACACTTGGTCTTCGGGAGTAGTAATGTTTGATGAATTTGTCTCTTAAATCATGAAAAACTGGACAAATGAATAAAAAATGAAATTCATCTTCAATATCATTTAAATTACATAAATCACATTTCCTATTACTCCTTATTAAATTTTCATACCTTCCCGTTTCTATCTTTGAATTATGTGCTGAGAGTCTAAAACAAGTAATTGTTTTTCTGTATTTTACATGTATAGATTTCTTTAAATAACCTTGCAAACAAAAATAGTCAACTAAATGCTTATATAACATGCATTTTGGTGATCTACATATATCAGATATAGCTTTTTGTTTAAAAACATCACACATTCTATTGTATGTTATGTCTAATATAATACTATCTTTTTTATTAATATGGTACAAGTCACCTAAACCTAGAGTGTACATTTCATTTTTATACTCATAATCCAGGGGTCTTTATTTTCCACCATATCTTGATAACATGCACTCAATATACAATTATTACTTTTTCTTAATTTTAACCAATATTGTAATATTCTGCGCTTTCTATATATATCTAGTGGTATTCTACCTAACTCATAATAAACAGCACTACTGCAAGTATTTTTTCTTACACCAAGTATTCTTTTACAAAAATTAATATGCACTCTTTCAACATCTTGACCTTTATGAAACCCCCATATTTCAGCTCCATAACATAACACACTTTTAACATAAGTATCAAACACATTAATCTGAGTCTCAACATTGAAATTTAAATCTTTCATTTTACTATAAATACTAAACATTGCCTTGTTACCTTGTGTAGCACAATGTTTCTGTGTGGATAAAAATTTACCATTATAGTTAAATAACATTCCTAAATAGTTAAATTGATTCACAACTTCCACATCGTTACCATTATATGTCTGTCTGTCCAGAGTGCATACACATTTTTCTGATTATTTTATTTCAATGAGATTTGAAATACATGTAAACTACATTAAACAAGTGGATTCAAAAACTCTACTCTCCAATTTTTTTAAAATAACGAACAGTGTTGCCACTGTCACTTAAACGAATGTAAACACTTGACTTGCCTACATGTATATTTATTAAAATTCTAATCCTATATTATCTGTTTTAAAGAAATCTTACACGAACATGTACAAACCACACCATTGGTACAACATTGGTAAATGTACCTCTTTCTTAATTTAGTGAACACTTGCCGCTAAAAAATTCTCCACTCTTTCAGAATTATTTTATTAATCAGTTTCACCGTAATAAAATAAATTCTAGAAGATATTTTATGATAGGTTCAAATACACTTAATTCTCTTTTCAATAATTTATCATCTCGTGGAAAACTTCTACAGATTGCAAACTACAACCGAGAAAAAAGTTCATATGGATAATCTATTCGAATGTGTGAGAATCAAAGTACAAATATCTCAAACGACTCTTTAAATCCTGAAAACCAGTCATTGACGTCTTTGCTTTTTCAAACCTATTTTCAGAATTCCAACCGAGTCCTTACCCCGAAGACTTTATGAATTGAGATACTGGATGGGTGTGCACAATAGAGATCCAAACAACAAAACTGACTTTTACCATGACAACTGTTCACACGTGACCTATTTGGAATGGGAGGACTCTCCTAGATCTTCATACGTCGTGGGTTATCCCTGCGTTTTATTTGATGTATACTGGGTACCTTTTGGTTCTAATATACACAAGTACTGGCTGGGCGAGTCTTGTGACAAAGAACATAACTTCGTTTGCATGAAGTTAATGGATGGTAATTTGACACTTCTCTGAGCATCTTATGAAAGATAATAAATGGGAGCAAGAGGGGTACTATACCTAATATTCTTATTTATACTTAAGTGTTATTCTTATAGAATTACTGCCTATAAAAAAAACATTAATATAACGTAGAAGATATAACTATATACATGAAATTAACATGCATAGTTGCAGACATCTTCCTTTTCTTTTTGGTTTTCACGGGCAGTTTTATTTCAACTATTTTTATGACAGAACATAACCGCTTAAGTAAGACCTCTGTCAACGTACATATAATGATAAATGAGTTATCAAACAGAATTTAAAATTCAGTTAAATTTAAATGAAAAAGGAGAGAAAATGGACCTTGCTTTAAATAAAAACAAAAAGAATAAAAAGAAAGAGAAATTTTCGATCGATATCTAAGCTATAATTAGCATCTAGAAACCAAAAACATCGTTTCTTTTTCAAAGAGCTACCTTGTGTCCACTCTTGCAATGAGTCGGTATATCTTGCTCCGCAGACAGATGCGGATTGCCGGGCTTACTGTGGGCAACTGCTTGGGTGTAGACATCGGTTCCTGACTTTGGACGATTTTACCGTCTGCCATATAATAAGGTCTTCATTTATCAACAACGACCCCTTCTACAATATCTGTTACCTTCCGGAATTGTATTCTGGTATACAATACTGTGACCCACAAGGTTTGGATACTTATCTACTTGTATATCAATAAAAGCGTAAACGTATTTTAAAATTTAATTTTCTGTCTTATTTGGTATCGAGTATCATTACTGCCATCTTCAATTAAAGTCATATATGGCGTATTTTTATAAATTCAGACTAATTAAAATTAAAAAGATCTTTCAATTTGTTTTATTACTTTATGTAAAGATAGGACTTTCCTGTAAATTACACAATCTAAATCAATCACGTTTCGAAGATATTAGAAATTTAAAACAATAACCGATTTATTTTCCGACTCCGCAATTAAATAACAGACACAGTTTAAAGTCAATTTGACTATGGAAAACATGAGGTTATTCAAGTTCAAAATCTGTGAACATTTTAATTTGAACGTAAATAACAAATAACATTTTTATCTACACTTAATCTCTTTTTTATTTTTTAGCTCAGATACGCCGTATATACAGTGTAGCTTTAATTGTGAGAATATTTTTGTTGTACCAGGTTAAAGATATATGATGCATTACAAGTTTCATTGATGTTTGAAATACAATTTTCATAGGTTCCTACAATATGTCCTACACGACTAATAAAGAACCGAACGTCACCGACCTGTGTGCAGAACCAGGTGAGTATATAATTTCATGGTTATAGTGCATTTTGCCCCCTTAATCGAAGATTGGGGGGTATATAGTTTTTGCCCTGTCCGTCCGTCTGTCTGTCCGCAAAATCTTTAACATTGCCAGTAACTTTTGATTGGTTGGAACTATGGCTTTTATAATTCACATCATCATGTGTATTCCTTGTGACAAGACCTTTTTGGATACCATCATACTTGACCTTTTGACCTTGACCTTGGAGTTTGACCCAGTTTTGCAAAATTTCACCCAACTTTAACCTTGGCCATAATTTTTGAACAATTGGTGCTAGGGCTTTCATACTTCATATGTGTAATTCTTTTGACAAGACCTTTCTTTGGATACCATCAACTTTGACCTTTGACCTTGACCTAGGAGTTTGATCTACTTTTGAAACACTTAACCTAGGCCAAACTTTTGAACGGTTGGTGCTAGGGCTTTCATATTGCGCATATGAAATTCTTTCCATGAATACCAGCAACTTAGACCCTCTGACCTTGACCTAGGAGTTTGACTTACTTTTGAAAAACTTTAACCTTGGAAATAACTTTTGAACGATTGGTGCTATGGCTTTCATATTTCACATGTGTATTTCTTGTGAGAAGGCCTTTCCTTGGGCACCATTAATTTTGACCATTTGACCTTGACAGTGTTTCACATACACATCTTGTTTCCTCCAAAGTCTACTCGTAGATTAACAACTCTCTTACTGTAACTGAAACCTTTGCTTCAGATACAACAACTGAAGTTGTACAAACAACAACAGAGGAGCTGACAACAATAGCAACAACAGAAAGGACAACAGCAAAAACGTTATGTGAATGTCCGTGCTCCTTGACAGTAAACATGACGGACTCCAATTTGACATTGGCGGAAAAAGTGGAGCAACTGAAGAAAGAGTTAACCGTTAATAAAAGAAACACTTCTGCACATAGACGAAGCAAAATCAGCATAGCGGATCATAGAGTTTCTGCAACTAGCATAGGATCTCTGGGAGTGGTCATTCTTTCAGTAGTTTTGGGTTCTATCTGTCTGTTGGATCTAACAAGAGTGAGGTGTGACAAGATAACAGGGAAGTGTAGTAAAAGAAAAAGTAAAAGGATTGGTGACAGTAAGGATGTATCACCGAATATTAAACTCATAAAACTAAGGACTTCGTCCACACCTAGCTGAACTAACGCTTATATACGTATATGTATATAGTGCTATGAGCATATTATTTAAGGGGTGGGGGGTGTACATTTGTACTCTTTGTATTAGTCTGTTTAGCCATATCTTGATTTGCCATAATATTGTGTTCATGGAAAAAGGCACTAAATTTTAAATTATTAATTAATTATTTACATGATATATTTACAAGTTATAAGCATTGTTAAGCCCCGCCAGGAATATGGCTGGGTCATATACATGTAGGCCTAATATTTTTTTATGTCAGACTTCCGTCCTTCTGTCTAGCTTTTGTCCCGTACGTCCGTCCGTCACATTTTGCATTTAGCTCAGTTTTAAATAAACTGTTCCAGATAACCAAAATTCATAAACTGATACATATTGATGAAAGTTATTCAACTTTGGCAGAATTTTCTGACCTTCCCTCTGACCTTGACCGCATCATTCCCTATTTCGTATTTACCCCAGTTTCAAAGTAACCATTCAAGATATTTTTGTCAAAACTCATGTACTGAAAAGTATTAGTGGGAGCTATTCAACTGTGTCATAATTCTCTGATATTGACCTTCCATATGGCCTTAACCTCAGCAAAGCTTATTAAATGTGTTTAGCATATTTTAGAAGAAACTTTTCATAAAAATTTCATCGAAACTTATCAATTGATACGTTTTGGTGGAGACTATTCAATTCTGTAATATAATTTTCTGACCTTGACCTTCCCTATGAATTTTGACCCCACTTATCTATTCGTCATTTTACATTTATCTTGGTTTAAAAGATTGTCACCAAACTCATACAAAGATACAATTGATAAGAACTGTCATAATGTTAAGACCTTGACCTTTTTAATGAACATGATCTTACTACTCCTCATTTTGCCTTTATCTTGGTTTAAAGGAAACTATTTAAGATATATTCATTAGACTTCATACAAAGATACAAATTGATTAGAGTTACGAAATTTTTTTTTAATAATAAACAATGACGTTCTATGACCTTGAGCTCACTATATTATTGCAATAGCACAGTTTATAAAGAAAAACAACTGTTTTTTATACAAGTTATTTTTATCAATTTGAACGGATACAAATTGGTGAGAACAATTAAAGTATGTAAAACAAAATTAACCTTAACCTTCCCAATGACTTGAAATTCAAATTTTTCCTCGTTTTGTTCTTAGTTTATGTTATTTAATTCCATAAAGGATTATTTAAAAAAAAAACTTCATACATCGATAAATCTCTGTAAGAGCATTTTTTTCATAAATAATCAATAGATCATAAACATTTATAAATTTACTTAATTTGACATAATGAACTTGAAACAATGAGAGTATATTAAGCTGTTCGATGAAAGATGGACATATCTGTATTTTTTTTTTTATAGTTACATGTATGTTCATGTCTTTAATTATTTTTCAATACATTTGAATTTGTTTTAGGAAAATAAATGCTTTGTTTTAAATTTTGTGTCGTGAATAACATCAAAATAATTGCTTAAATACCAACAGCCTTAAAATGATATGGACATGTCTTTATCATAAAAATTTTGGTGTGAGTAAAAGTATAAAAAAAAAAAATAATGTACGTTAAAGTTAATAATTGAATCATAATAACTGTTACAGTAAATTTTGGATGAAGAGTCGATCACCGAATTTAGGGACCTACGTAAATAATTTTTAACACAATATATTACATGTAGGTACTTGGTGTTTCTGGGTGACAAATGCATCTGTGTGGTATACATTGAGATGCATTTTGGTTTGTTATGCTATAGGTCATCTGTCCGTTGGATTTTTCGTCTACGTGGCGGGCAGTATTTATTTACATTTTCAACGATCATTTATGAAAGGGAGAGATACGTAAGAAAAAGTCGATTATAAATCAGTAAGGACTATTGTCCTAAGTATTACTTTCAGAATGCGTATTTTAAAGACCGCATTTTCATAATGATTGGTTTTTGATTGGTGATGCTTGAAAATCAAACACGGAAATTTCATTAGAAGGTCCATGAGTACCAATTTTCACTACTTTAGATGGGTCTAATTGCCCACTTTTAGACAATAATTACTATCTGTGTTTGTCGTCTCTCTCCTCTGATCAGCGAAAGCCATACCGATATGTTCACGATGAAGTACAAGACGGACCATGAGACGGGTGATAAAAATCTTCAATGGGTCTTTTCTGTATTTATCATTATTGTAGCCTCTGTGTCCCTGCCCGGAAACGGCTGGACGCTCTTTGTGTTATCCAAGAAATTCAAAGGTGTTTCAAAGTTTACCAAATCTCTCATAAATCTTCTTTCCGTTTCGGACATATTGCTAGTTTTCTGCATTTTAGTGCCAAATGCCGTGACACTTTTTACGGATCGTTGGGTTTTTGGTAACACAATGTGTCAAATTCTTTCCATGGAAGTAAAGGCAGTTTTTTATATCTCTTTGATTACTCATTCAGTCATGGCCTTTCAAAGGTAAGTTGATTTTGTCACCTGATATAATTTTATATTATAGCAAGGGAAGAAAAGATCTTACATACATGCAGTTGAATATGCTCTTTAGGTACATTTTGGAAAATATTTGTGAAAGACTATTCCTGAAATGATTGTATTTTGAAATGATATTATAAATGTTATAACTGCACTTTCTACCGAAAGTTAAATATCTTGGTCTGTCCGACTGTAACATTAGCTTTTCCCACAAACGTCTCTTACTTTTTAGCAATAGCCAATTCATCTTTTGGAATCTGATAGTTGGTGTCTTTAGATGATAAAGAGGGTTTAAAAATTTCATTGTCATCCTTGGAGCCAATGGGGGGGGGGGGGGAGGGGGGGTCGAAAAACGACTTTTTTTTTTTTTTTTTTTTAAATGGTTCTTAGCTTCCATCATCTAACATTTTTCGCAGTAGCCAAATAAATCTTTTTGAATATGGTAATCTCCTGTAAATGTGCAAAGAGATTTCAGAATTTTATTCTGACCCTGGGGACCAATTGATTTTCGAAAAAAAAAATGTTTTTCTTTGAAACCTGGTTCCTAGAACTCCTCTTACTTTTTTCACAGTAGCAATCATCTTACGGAATATGATTCGTGGTGTCCTGTAGATGTGCACTATAGGTTTTATAAAATTTACATTTTCACCCTAGGGCCTACTGGGGTCGAAAAAAGACCTTTTTCTACGAAAACCTGTGGACCTTTATACAAAGTATCTTATGACTAAGTAAAAAAAAATTCCAATTTTCTTCAAATGTTTTACCTATATTAAAAAAATTATTACATTGGAATACATGATTTATAAATAATCCTTTTATAAAAATTTAATATATTTATTTTAAAAAAATATACATGTACGAGGATTGTTCGGAAAGTTCGTGGACTTCTGTCATATCTTTTTTATTTAACGTCATATGTCATCCAAATTTGGTAGAAATATTTTAACAATAAATTTAAATGATTTGTATTAAATTTTTCAAAAATATCATGATTTATTTAAAACTTATCCAGAATTAAAAACTGCAAAAATCGGATCGCGGCGCAGGTCAAAATTTAGTAATTTACAAACAATACACTAAATAATGTCTGTAGTCATCTTCTCTGTAAAATGGAGCAAAAACAAAAAAATCCTAGACGGTTGAATTAAGAATTGTTACATCGATTCTTATTCCAAATTTTGGCTTAATATTTTGCTTCGGTAAAAAGAAATCAATTTGAGAAGATAGGTAGTCCTCATTGAAAACGACAAAAACGATGACGTAGAACGTTACGGAGCAGCAGATAACGGTGCAGTTTTGTGTTATACTCTGGGAAAATCCTGAATAAACGCTAAAAATGTTGGAGGACTCAGAAAATATGCCACAAGCGAGTAGTGCATGTGTGTGTAAATGGTAGAGGCGGTATTTGAGTGACAGAGACTCTGTATCGGACGACGACAATCTATGAAGAGACGGTTTAACTGTAAAAATCTGAACGAAAACTTTTAAAAGTTGGGACGTCATGGAAAGACGTAGGCGCTTCAGAGTTGCTGATCTTGTGAAAGCACAGTTAAGCGGTAAAAGAAATTAAACATTAACAAAGGAAATTATAAAAGGAGAACAATTGTTAGAAAAATAAATGTCAAGTGATTGAAAAAGGTTTTTAATACGTGGGTATTGGACTATACTGTGTGAATGTATAGGGATAGAATTTTTAAGAAACTCTTGACGCTATGTTTTTGACGTTACATTGCTTTTAAGTGTGCGCCGTGGTTACAAAACATGTTGATTTTAAAATGAAGTAAATTAATTTCTATCAAATCGAATGGAATGAAATTTCACAGATCAACAAAACAAATATTTTTACACATGATACTGTGCTTATTTTATATTTCTTGGAAGTAGTATAACAAAGATTGACATCGTCCACGAACTTTTCGAACAACCCTCGTACATGGTTGTCAAATTTTAAACTTAGTCTTAAAATTTTTTGTGAAAAGGACTCCCAGTTTCCAGAAATCCTCTTCAACTTTATGCAGTAGCCAAATCACCAGACACCAGAATATCCTGTAGGTTAGCAATGTGCTGTGGAATTTCAATTTTTAAAGAAAGGGGGGGGGGCTTGGAGGCAACCCCCTCCCCCGAACTTTTTCTACAAAGCCATCTTTCCAGGATTCTCTTACAGTTTCGCAGTACTGTAGCCCATTCATCTTTTGGAATATGATTGGTAAGGTCCTGTAGATTTACAAAAGGGTTTCAGAATTTTCGTTTTCACCACAGTGGAGGCCAAAAGGGAGCCTCAGGGCCAAAACACCATTTTTTCCTTACAAAAATCATGCTTCTAAAACCCTTCTTACATCTTAAGCAGGCGTCAGATCAAATTTTACAATATGATTGGTAGTATCCTGTAAACGTGCAATTTTTTTCTCATCCAGGAGGCCAATTAAGTGAATGCTGAAGATTTATTTATATTTACATTTTTAAAGAAAACCTTCTTTTTAAAACTCCTTTTTTTAAAATCAGAATTTAGGCTTCATCAATTCCTTATGTTTAAGACTGCATAATATTGAATCGATTGTATGAAATAGTAGCAAAAGAGACACGTGGGCCACATGCTCACTCACCTGATTATTTTATGCTAAATTTGATACTTGTATATTTGTGCAAATTGTACAATGAATATTGTTGCTACTTCATTTCTTACTCAAGTACAGAAAAAAAAAATAATTTTAGAGGTAAACGCTTATATGCTGGTATGATTGTCATGTAAAATAATAATAATATATATTTACATGTATCTCCTTTACCTCTTAAGAAAACCACTGTCGTATATCAATACTTAGCACCGCGAAGCAAGCCACCTCTACGTACAGATTTCTTGAGCAGTGGCTCATCCATCAAAGAAACATACAATGACTATATATTAATAATACAACATTATTACAGTATTACATAAATATAAACAATAAAATGTCTTTCTTTGTTTCTTAGTATGGGAATTAACGTTGCAGTTATTGTAGACAAAATTTACATATGTATTTTTTCTGCAACAGTTGCAACATTGATTGCCATACCAAAAGCCAAAGGAAGCCTGCATCTACTTCATGAGCGTAATGTATTTAAGTGTATTAAATATTTTGTAGTAACGGAAACAGTATAAAAATTGAAACTAGCGATATAATTCTTAACAATTCCTTGCAGATACCGCTTACTTCAACAACCTTTAATCCGTGGACAACACATTCAAGAAGAAAATTCTCTGTTAAAGCGGAGAGCCGTTATTGTAACCATTTGCATTTACACTCATATTTCTGCATTTCCCTTAATGTTTTGGACTCGTGTGTTAAAAACGGGTGTCTGTGGAGTTCCCTATCGCTATTTAACGGCCGTGAGCTACCATTCTCTTGCTACAAGTATCTTGAATGGATGTTTGCCTATTCTAGCAATTGTTATCAATTATTGTCTCATTCTGAAAAGAACAAGGCAGTTATCGAAAAAGGTAAGTACTGAAAAGGATTCAGACGTACTTTTCAATATCAAACTTTATAGAACTATTGACATTAAGTATAATTGCTTATTATACAATTGAAGATATTCATCACTAAATACAGTGAAATCTGTCTAATCCGCAATGCGCTGGGAGACAAAATTTGTGTCGGAATAAACAGGGTGTCGGATTGCACGGTGAAAAGAACAGAAAGCAGTTAAATGGGAATTTAAATAAGGGTCGGAATTCACAGTGAAACGGATTGCACATATGCCGGATTAGACAGTTTTCATATGTACCTATATGCAATAAAGGTTCTTACAAAGATACCTGGGATTCGTCACAAAAAAATAATGACTCGGAGAAATATCATTAAGACGAAATCTACCAAGTTAATTACAACGTTAGTGTTAATACAGGTCCTCCCCATGGGGGTTTCTTCGTTCCACTGGACCAAATCAACAAGACTGACCAGGGTCTGTGTGATTATGGTCGGAGTTTTCGTCCTCACTGGGTTTCCATTCCAGCTGTGTCTGATGTTAGGGTTTTTCCATCCCAGCTCCACAGTACTGCCAATACTGACCGCTGTGATGTTCTGTCTCTACATCCTGTACAGCGCCCTCTGTCCTGTATTGTACATGATGTTGTGGAATGCCTACAAAAAGAGATCGACAGAGGTGGGTATTCCTCTATCTTCCCCTGCGCGTGCGCCTGTGTGTGTGTGCGGGATGGGGGGGGGGGTTGATTTTTAATTACAAGCAATAAAGTGGTAAGTATTAGACACATATATAAGTAAGTTATAAGCATCTTAATAAAAGAAAAAAAAAACCACATGAAGAATTCCTGCTCGTAGAATTATATTTAGCATGTTTAGGTAACATAAAAAGATTTCGTTAATTCACCCTGAATTCAGTTTTCATTTGAACATTTTACAATATAAGCATTGAATAGATAATGAAAGCTGGTTTATTGGGGGTTATTTTTTTATATTTTAAAATAGAAAAAAGTTTTACATATACATGTATTTAATGTACACTGATTAAAGTACTATAAGGCATTAAATATTCTTTGTTGTAGGTTTTTCTGGAAATCAAGAAGAAACTGTGTTCAAAGTAAAAAATTAAATAAAGAATAGAAATCATCTTTTGTTTTGATTGAACTTTCAGATGTTCATCGAACTATCAAAATTTGGTTAACTCAATTTTGTTGCATGTGAAATCCACACAATAGTTGCTTGGATCAATGTTTGGAAAGTTAAGCTACACATGGGAGATAACTCGAACTATTATTTATTTACCAAGGACGAGATATGAAATTGAAAGACATTTTGACAGATAAAATATACGACAATACGGCAAGGCGCTAGTTAAACATTTTTAATCCATTGTTCTTATCTGTATTTAAATATCACTTACAACCCGTTGCTAATGCCCATTTTATTCGAAAACAATGCACGATCAAATTTTCTTCAATGGAAATTTTAAAACAAAGAATAAGATCGCAAGCTTTAAGAAATCGGTGACTTGAGACATTTTTATACAGTGCGTCTTATCAAATGAATTATAGTCTCCAAGGATCTATAGGTAAGTTTGATACCTACATTATATATACAGACAATAAGTACAAATCTTGATTATCTGTGTTTAATTACATTTTTATATTTCAAATAATATTTTATCGAATATTTCACACAATATTTTGATTCATTTCTTTTGAAGCTTCAATTTATTATCTGTATTAATAGTTTTTACAGAAAATTATAAAATCCATCATTAATATTTAAGGAATGAATTTAATAGCTACCCAATTTATACGGTATAAAGTGGGTTGGGGCAGTTTACGCTTTATAAACCTCGAAGCGGTTTATAAAAAAGCGTAAACTGTTCTGATAAATTGGGTAGCTATTAATTTCATTCCTTATAATTTAATTTTCATTCATTTAGTGTAAGAAGCAATCCAATTTATACGATATAAAGTAATTTTTTTTATCCAATCAAATACCGCGTTATAACTAAAATTAAATTACATTGTAACTGAAAATGTACTTGACATTGATCATAGCAATCTTTTTAAAATTAGGAGAGAAATAATTTTTTTCTTTCAGGTGTTTTTACATGGCCTCTCACAATTTAGAGCACTTCTTGAAGTGCACGGATTGTAAGAAATATTTTGATGACGAGTTACACGCTCCGCACGTGCTGCCTTGTCTGCACACATGTTGCACAAAATGTCTAAAATCCAGAGTAATCAAGGAAGAAGTCCAATGTCCGGAGTGTGCCGAAAAGTTTGAGGCCTCTCAAAATGATATTAGTAACTTTCCGGTTGACACAGCGCGGAAACATATCGTAGATTGCTACAGAATTCAAAAAAAGAATGCAGATTTCAATTGTGACGAATGTGGAAATTCCTCCAATAAAGAGCGCGCAACAATGCACTGTAAAGAATGTAACGAATTTTTGTGTACAAAATGTACAGACGCCCACCAAAGAACAAAACTAACGAAGCGACATCAGTTGGTATCATTAGAAAAGCTTAAGAATTCTCCTTTGGAAGAGTTTCATACTAAGCAGACTTGCTCTGTGGAAGGACATGAAGGCCAACCATTTTCCTTTTTCTGCACAACTAAAGCCTGTGCCAAACCTATCTGTAGTCTTTGTGTTGTTCGAGACCATCAGCAAAATGGCCATGAAGTTCGAAATATTAATGATGTATACGTTGAAAATAAGCGGCTAGTGGAAGGGCAATTATTAGATATCAAACACATGAGAACTACAGCGGATGAGGCCATTGAACACATAGAAGACGAAATTCAGAACCTCTACCTGAAAGAAAATGCCGTTGATGAAGAGTTGGAAGCTCATTTTGCTGCCTGTATAAAAGCCATAGAAAAAAGAAAAGAAGAACTCAAAGAAAAGCTTGCATCTGTGTCTCAAAACAAAAAGAAAGACCTTGATGGGCAACTCGATCGTTTGATGAAGCAAAAAGGACAGCTGGATCAAACCTGTAAATTCACGGACGACCACTTGCAGTACAGCAATGCCGCAGAATTCTTACTCATGAAAGACCAGATACTAAATCGGATGTATACTCTGAAAGACCAGTCCGTTGAAATAGTACCACATGCAACATCAAACATCAAATTCCAAACTACCAACGTAGGCGACGACTTCTTGGATTTTTGTCAACATATGGGTGACGTATGGGCAACATCGGTTTATCTTCCGAACACCCGCGTGCAAGTTCTGGATATTGCCACGGGAAGAGAGCAATGCCCATTGCTTATTACCTTGAGTGACTTCCAAAACCGGCCGCTTCACGAGCCCGGCTTAGATATCAAAGTGGAGGTCTTCAACAGCAAGAATCAGAGAACTCTAGCACATGTCCAAGACAAAACTCGGTCCCAGGGCTGTTACAAAGTCGTGTTTAAAGCACCTAGACCTGGAGAATACAGAGCGGTCGTCAAGATAATGGGAACGGTATTGGAACCTGGGGAATATGTTTTTAAAGCCAAACATCCGGATCAGATGGAATCTGAAGACACTATAGCGGATCTAAGTAATTTTAAAGATGATTTTAGTTGCCAAATTTAAGCTATTATTTAATTAAAACAATATAATTAGATAAAATATATAATACTCAATGTTTTTAACTTAAATTTTCATGTGTATTGTAGCCCCAAAAGAAAAGAAGGGAATTGAAGAAACAGGTGTGCAGAATTTACATGTACATGTACAAGAGATCAATGGTACTGCTGAAGGTAAGCTGGTTTTCATACTGGCTATTTCTTTCATCTACCTTCCACGCTTTCGAACAGTAAACTGTTACATTAATATTTTTGCAGTGGAAAAGCTGAATCTTCAAGGTCTAGCAACATCCAGTGCTAGCCCCGTGACCTCCCATAAGTACAAAGCTGTTGGGGATATTATATGTAAGAAAAAGTCGAACTGGGCGCACAAAATACTTTCATTAAATCGTCGACTTTTTTTTCCATTTACATGACAATATATTTTTTTAAACAAACATTTCAGGCCCAGACTTGAGCCTCAACCACTTAACAGTTCACCCGCAAAACGAATTGTTGGAGAACCAGAAAACATTGACTAACCAGAAAGGTCGTCATCGTCCCCCTCGAAATCTCTCCCAAGCTTTCCAGAATTTCCGTGGAACTATTGCAAATCGCTCTATGGGAAGAACTGGGCAGTATTACTTTGAGGTCCACATCAGTTTCTTCATTAAACGTTCACTACGACAGGACCTTATCTTCGAGGTAGGACTATGTCGTAAACCGGATGTTGACAAACACTACACGATTGACAATCATCAGTTTTCTTACGTCGTATGCGCAAGAAAATGCCACATCTGCCGCACCATTTGTCTACAAGGATGGAGTAATGGTCAGCGATTCTACCACGCACCAATCACCGAAAATTCGCCACCAGGAACCTCCTTCAAAACTACTTACGGATTTCTTCTAGACACTCGACAGAGACAGTGGGTCGTTATTGACGTCAAAAATAGGAGATTTGTACTCAGATTTAAGCACATTGACTTAAACAAGCCGTTGTGGCCAGTATTTGGATTATATAATCCAGACCTGGTCAATTCGTCTCTGACGCTTCGGTCCGGAAAAGACATCTCAACAATTCTGGAGGTACCATTTGACTTGTAGAATCACTCACGTCAGTATATCACAAGCTCCTTCAGGACTGGAGGCAATTTGTGGATTTTTTGTTATTAAAATAAAAATACCATACTCAAGTCATACATGTACCTGTATCCGATCTACTTTAAAGCATATTCAAATTGCTACATGTATATTCTTAACTTTGGATGAAAACTGTGGTTCAAGAGTTTCCCCAAGTGTGGTGTCAAAGAATTATGCTTAAAAGTAAATCGTTTATTTTTCATTCAATATAGATACACTCATACTTTTTAAAAAACTTTAAAAGCTTTTATTTTATATTTCAGTATATTAGAATATTTTCCATTCATCTTTTTCTTGGTATTCATAGGTGTCATTCTCAATAACTCTGTTAGTTTATTTTTCTTTGGTCTTATGGGACGTGTCATCATCAAAATTGGTATCGATCGTGCAAAGCATTTTGTATTTTGATTTGTACACCATATTGCAATCTAAGGCCACTCGAATAAAATTTTTTGTTCGTCGGACCCGCGCGCTCGTATTTAAGCAAAACTATACAAATAATATTAATTTCAATTTCCCGCACCATGGAAATTCTGTGCTATTTTCTATTCCATTTCCGCTCTATATTTCGTATTTTAAATCTGCTTACTCTGCAAATCAGAAAAAATATATTTGTCCGCTCAAATTTTTTCACACTCCGCCTAAAAGTTTTGCCTACAAAAAGTAATAATATTATTATTTAACGATATACACGCTATATAAACGCGATTTTTTATGCGAAACAAAATGATTAAATGATTTGAGAAACATGATGTATAATAAAAAATAATTACTTTCCTAAAGTTTTACTAAATAAGTCATTGTAATTACAAAACGATTAAGCAAGATCTGCAATGAAGAATTCAGCCTATTCATGAATATTGATGAAGGAAGTGCGTAAACAGTATATACATGTAGACACGCATGTCCGCGGGAAATCATAGACAACGAGGTACGTTGCATTTTGACTACTATTTTGAATAAAAGTTAATATCTGTCATTACAGAGTATATGGTTAATAATGGTTGTTTTCAAAGATAAGTATCTTTTAACAAAAAACGTATGCCATCCATGTCAAAAGCTATTTTGTATACCAAACGGCCTACCTCGTTTTTTCTTAACGCCATTTTTGTTTATCAATCTAAAAGTAGCGACGGTGTCACATGATGCATGAATTTAAATATAGCATTACTTTCCTAGTAGGATAATAAATAATTATAATTTGAGATCTTTATAATGCGTTCATTTCCAATTGTGTAATTTACAATATTTTCGTAACTTTATTTGGTAAACAAAATAAATAAATTTCCAACTTTATTTTTAACTGACGCAAGTTATAGCGTGTATATCTTTAACCGCTTGCCCGCTCGTACTTTTTTTCATTAAATGTTCGACGAACAAGAAATTAAATTGGTGTGGCCTAACCATGATGTTGTGAATTAAAATATGAAATGGACTGCATTTGTTTTGTTATGAAATTGAAGATGTTTTCGAAGAATTTCATACACATGTAATAACTGGACTTCTGGTACATGTTTGTTCTGTATCCCTCTAAAAGAGTTGGAAATTATTAGGACATGTAATTAATCGTAATGATAATCCGATGCACATTAAGGAAACTTCTAAGTACAACTATTCGGGTCTTTAAAGTATGGAATCTTTATTATGCATATGGGCATCGTAACCCTTTCTCTTACTTCTTTTACATGTATAAAGGTATATATTATAGTCAGTCATGGTTACGGAGGGATTATTGTCTGGGGTCTGACTAATTAAAATATTGAAGTAAATTTACATAAAGGCCCTTTATATTAAGATGTTAGGATTTTATAAGATCATATTTTTAAGTCTTACATTTCTACAACTTGGGAAAAATTGCACACTGAGTCAGTTTAAAATCTGGAAGGAACTTTACTTTTTTGGCGGAACAGTAGCGTAGGAAAATTTCACAAGTTTTGCCTTTCAAATTACATGTAACTAATGAATAATGAATTAAGTTCACAGTTTTGAATATCAAAGTCTCAAAGGCTTTTCTTAAGTTAATAGAATCAGGGATTTAAGTTTTGAATATATTAATAATTATATACATGTAAAACAAGATTTTTCAAACAAACTACAGACCTTTGTAAACTTTCAATTTATAAATAAACAAATTTGAGTGGAAAAAAATCAATCATATCATCATTTCTCTCTTTATTAACGATCAATATTTCTTTTTGTTTATTTTTATCGGTTTATGAAGTCTTTAAGATATGTGAAAATGGGGGGTGGGGGTGAAAAATAACGAATATTCCTTAAAAATTACTAAAATGAGAGGAATTTCAGGTGAGGAAATATTTATTTTTAAAGTAATTTATCTCAATTTAGAAGAGTTCACTGATAGACCTTATGTGGCATTATCTTTTTATGCAAAAAGATGAACAAATAATTATACTTTTAAATAGAAATGGGCATAACATGATATGCAACAAAAATTCCAATCCCTTATGTGGAGGAAAAATATGATGACCTTTACTTAAGGATATACGATCCTCAGCCAGGAAGGATAACTCTTAACTTTATTATTTTATTTAAAAAGTCTCAAAAAGAAGCTTGAAATTGAGACCTTTTCGTGCAACAATTTTCATTTTATACATCTTAATATGATTCAAGGTTCTTTGAAGTCTTAGAAATCGTCTTGTAAAAAGTTGATATGTAATGTTCCTAATGTGAACTTGAACTTTCCAAAATGACCTCGGGTCAGAACATGACACTCCCTGAAGTCATAAGCAATCTTTGTGTCATCTTTTAAAATAACCTTAAACACTACAGACACGTGGATTTGTGTTGGTGCATCCAATGAACCAAGTCTAAGCTCTCAGGACGCTTAGAATGTATATTGGAACGACGAAAAGTGAACTCCGTAGAATATTGAAAGGGGATCATTTGTCTACGTAGAAATCTGTCCCCCTGTTCAATATTCTACGTAGAAAAATGACCTACTTTTTTGTAGAAATTATGGGTTTGTGTCATTTTTCTCCATGTGGATTGTAGAAAAATGACCCTGTAAAATAATGATCCTGTGCCATTTTTTGATTAAAAAAAAAAAAAAAAACAACAAACAAACAAACAAAACTGCATGGTTTTGGCAGGTAAATTCTTGTTAGGCAAATATATAGGGGTTAAAAAATCACACAGCCTTATGATATGAAGTGTTCCTTCCTAAAAGCCTTAAAGTTTAAATGACAAAATAAAAAAGAAATATACTATACTTTACATTAATAATACAAGATGTTTTATTTCTATTAAAGGAAAGCCTAACAAGGCTATAACAATGTTCTATCACTGTTAGAGCAAGAATACATGTACGTACATTCTTTGATTTGTTTTATCACATTTAATAAAATAAGTTTCCACAGTTGTAATTATTTAGAAAATCAAGATCATTTTCTTAGCTGGTATAAGAGAAAAATATAAATGAAAAATGTCCAGCTTCCATAATTGTAATCCTCTTTGATTTTACTCTGGGAAAATAATGTGCAACAAATAAAAATATAGTCTTCCTTTTTTCTTTAGAAGTTATAAGAAAGGTTAACGTTTTGGAACCCTACCCCAATAAATTTGCGTGAAAAAAAAGAAGATTGATAAGAAAATTCGGTCATGGAAATATCCTTGATTTTCTATGAATAAATTCTCAAATTTCTTCGCATAAAAATATAGGGAATATTACATTTGTGAAAAAATAACAGAACTAAATCAACATGTCTCTGACCTTCGATATCACGGGCACAAAAAGTGATTAGCTCAAAATCTTTACCAATATCTTCTGTCGTTTGTTAGTGTCAACAAATTCTTTAACAAAATGAGGCTTTTTACATAAAAAAAATTGATTGCTTAAAAAAAAGAGGTGTTTGGTATACCAAGAATTGATACAAGTTTATACACGGTAGTATTGTCTTTCCCCTCTCTAGTTACATGTAAAAAAAAAATTACCAATAGAAAAAAAACAAACAGAATGTTGCGTTATGATAAAAGCTTCTCAGTCTAATTTACATAATTTTTCTCTGAGTATGATTGGCAATATTAGCACATTTGAAGTTGCGTGTGCAAAAAATATAGAACTGTAAAAAAAAAGTATTGTAACACATTGTTTTAGAATCAAGTACCATGCGAGATTCGTATAAGCGTATCTATAATGGCGAGTTTTGAAGGGGTTACGGGGAAAAAATTCCCTTCTGGCCATGTACGTCTTTCCTATAACCAAATTAAGGGTTCTTGCTGTCTGAAACGAGGTTTAAAACTTATAATAAAAGTGAAAAGAAATCTTCTTTTCCTTTCACCGAAAATCCTCTTATAAGGATTTTATTTACATAATGCATATCTTCATTGTAATGCAGGTTGTTTAAAGTTCATAACAATTAGCAAATTTTATCTCTTTAATTTTACATGGCTTGAGGAGGGCGGTATGCGCGAAAAGGCAACGTTGTAACAATTTTAAGCACATATTTTGCATGGCTCTCTCTTTTTTTATTGAATGGCTTTACTGCATATATAATGGAATGAATGTAATTTTCCCAGAAGCATGGCTAAGGCCTGTTATAAGGTGAACATTTACTCAAATTACACTGATGGCCTAACGGTAAATCATTTAACACTATCCATTCAAAAACGTTATAAGTGGAAATGTATGGTTAGTAGAGTAGAACCATGCAACAAGTAAAGGTTACATGTAGGTTTTATTAACAGTACGCATTTGAATAAAGCACCAAACGAACATTCATATGCAATGAGAAAATATGACATACCGGGCAATGCGTAGAACAACGAGGGAGTCATGATGCTAATGCATTTTGGCTAACATTCAACGCAACGACACGATATCTGAACAGGACAAAAATTATACACATGTATAAATATAAAATTTAAGTAAACTGAATGCATACAAGGGAAAGGGATAGTGAATGTCAAACCCTTATACATACTTGGTCAAATAAAGAATATTTTAT